TGTGGATACCTTCAGTTGCCTCACGGCTTCGTGTGTAGCAGTATCTCGTGTTATAATCTAAAGAGCTTCCTGCCCCGTGACTCCTGATTATTCTGTAGCAAGTTCTTCAGAGGAAGAGAAGTGAAGACAATCCTTGACTACTTTAACAAATATTTTGCTGTAAAAATTAATCAAACTATTATAGTGTCTAGCATCAAAATATTAAAGTGAAATATTTCGAATAACTTAGCCTAGTTGCACTGTTTTTGCAATGCTAGCTTCTATTGTCACTGTTTCCATGGTAACTTGTTTTCTTTCAGGTTTTTCCCTTCAGGCAATACCATTATATAAATGTTAAAAGCAAGCTTTGCTTTACATTCGGTACTTCATGCATTTTTGTAGCACATCTCTGGCTAAAAGCCAAAGCTAGAAGGAAAGGAAAACCTATATGTATGTGTTTTTTTTTCTTCTGGTATTTCTGGCTAAAATATTCCTGCTTTCATCTCTAAGAGAAATAGAGGTTAATTATATTGATTTTTCAATTAATATGAAGGTAGTGAATAGAAAAGCTATCTGTAAATGAGACAGTTCAGGTGGAATATAGAGCGAGTAGCGTACAGTTTAAAACAAGAACAATACCAAGTGCTGATGAGAATCCTTGACCTTGCTGTATATACTCTTTGGAAGGATGGTAGGAAGAAAAATGTAAGGATATGTTTTATAACATAGCAAGACATAATCCTTATGTTTAACATGAGCACGTCGATCAATTAAAAAAATGAATTTCCGATTTTTTCAGGCTGAGGCATGAAACTTTGTTAACATGTTTTGAGATGATCAGTCGGTATACCCTGAATAATACTGGAAATATTTTTTGTTATTTAGCTAGGAGCTTAAGAAACTGTTTGGACTTTTGAAAAATGAAGATAGAGATTAAGATATTGCTGCAGGGGGAACTTTGCATTTGACATAGCACAGAATGCTGAGATGTTAGAGGATGTCAACTCTGTACAAGTCTAGGAAAAATGGCAGTGCAGATCAGTTGCAGATCAACGTGTGGTTTGAGTTCCCTGTTCTCATTCAGCGCTTGATACATTCAATACTCGTACGCATGGGTCTCAGCATTTCTTTATAGTCTTTGTACTCTTCTGGAATGAGAGTTGAACACTGAGGTTTTGAGGAATTAAAAACTGGGAGATGCAGAAGGCTACCCTGCTTACTCAGTTGTAACTTGAATTGTATTTGAGAGTCAGGGTAAACATAAGGTGGTATACTAATCTGCCAAGCGGTTGTGATAATTATACAAGTGGCGTTGCACAGAGGACAGGAGTGCTGCACTGGAGTAGTGGTGTGAAAAGTTTGGGCTAAGGAAGGATATTGAAGCAAATAGTGCTACAAAAGGTTAATATAAAAATGAAGAAAGGGGTAGGAATATTATTGCACACACTTCGGATGAGAATGATTTTTTTTTTCTCAGTTACCTCTTTCTTAGTATGCTTGCAAACTGCAAATTAAATTTCCAAACTTAAGCTGGAAAAGCATGGAAATGTAGAGGAGGTGTGTTATGGTGTATTTTCCTTATTTGAGGGAGTTGGGATGGTGAAGTGGCTCAGAGAAGCAGCATTGTGCCCTGGCCTATATCTTGCAGGGCTTTTTACCTTGCACCTCATCTGAATAATACCTAAACAAATACCTGACATCCCACAAACTGTGAAGGCTTTTCCATCCACTCTTCCAAGAAGTTCTGCTACAGCTTTGGACTGAATTACATAATTATGATATTGCCTCAGCAGTCAGTGAGGACTTGAGTGTCTCCTGGTGGTTTTCTACTTTCCTCTGCATCAGAGGTTTAAAAAAAACCCTTCAACTTTCTTGGGATAGTTTTGAATATAAAATAAAATGCAACTGAATCATTTTGATGGCTCGTTTGCCTATCACAAGATGCAATATTGCCCATGGTGCCAGAAGCAAAGGTCTCCTGACTTGATGTTATCAGAGTTGGTTCTAACCCCCCCCCCACCTTTTTAGCAAACACCTTAAAACTGTTACGTACTGGATTTTAAGTTAATTACGCTCATCACTCCAATAACAAGAGCCATATTGTCTTTCAGAGTAAAGCATTATATGCTTATTACATTCAGAAATAGTTCAACCTTAAAGAGTTTTCAGGGAAAAAATTAAATAATGACATCTCAGCCTTGGTTGGCTGTTACTGGTTTTTTAAATTCTGATGAAAACACTGAGTACCTTAACATGAGCCTAAGCAAGCAGGCCTTTTAAAAAAAAAAAAAAAAAAAAGGCAAGCAATCCGAATAGAGTCAGTTTAGAAGAAGGACCCCATATTTGGGTGTCAGTTCAGTGCCTTAACTAACAATATCTCCTCCTGAGTGTTGAGAGAGGTTTCTGTGCAGGTATCAGGACTAATGATAGTTTCAAAGTTGCACTTAATCAATTTGTCTGATGTCACTAGTCCCTTTGGAATCTGAGAGAGAACCTGGCCCTTTGCTTCTTGGTCTGTCCGATTGCCTGCGGCTTTGTTTTTTCTTACTCTAGCCTTTGTTTCATGCACCCCTTTTAACAGCTTGCTTTGGCACTGCCTTGCAAGAGGACGTAATCTCCCTAAATTAGGGCAAAGCTGCTTGAGCCTTCCACAGACTTGCTGTATTAATATCAAGTCTGTCCTGACTTTGTGTTTCAACAGACTAAAGAGGTCAGGTGTATAGAAGTACTGTGTTTAGTCAGCCGAGGGAGAAATCTTGCTTTGAGGAGGACTCTAGCCCTGGGGATTTTGAGGAGGAGGTTTAGTTGAGCAAATACCACTTCAGCTGGTCAGTTCCATGTCAGCCTGCTCTCAGCTAGGAGTAGCTCAACTGTGTAGCACTTAGTGTCTGTGTGGAATTTGTTTTAAAATATATATAAAAACATTTACATCTTTGTAGATTATGTAATGCATAAGTAATATAGAACTATATATATATAATATACTTATGTGTGTGTATATGGCATTTATAATATGCTTAAATCCAAACACTTGTTACCTGTTAATTCATTGCCATGTTCTAGGTGATGACAAGACACTCCTTTGATATAGAACTTGAGTGGATCCTTGCCCTTTCCTGAGAGAACATTAAAAGTGTGAAGACTGGTCCTATTGAAATAGGCAACAGAATAGAGGGACTTATATATCTTAACCGCTGTTTGGCTAAACGGTTTAATTTTGACTGAAACTTTAGAATCACTTCAGTATGGAGGAGCAATATACACAATGTGCCTGATGAAACACTTCTGTTTCAAACTGCAATGGAATAGGTATCCATGTGTGTTCCATTTGATTAGTTAAAACCTTGTGTACTGGCTGTTTGAAGAAAATGAACTCTGGTTAAGCAGAGTCTGTTTAATTATAACACAGTCATGTCAGCAGCCTATGTTACTTTTATTTTTATAAAGGCCTTCAGTAATCAATTAGCACCTGGTTATCTTATATGTAAAGCTGAATTTATTACTGACTCATTGCAGTTGTTTCTTTAAATTTGCAAAATCTTTTTGAAACGGTCACAATTGATCCTTGTCTCTACCCTTGGACTATATACTGAAAGATTAAGAGCTACATTCACTGTGTATACAATGGGTTGAGGTAGATCACTTGCCCTTAGCTTCTGGAAGATGCCTTTTTAATTAAAGCACAGTTTTTAAGTTAGAACTTCATTTCTAATACAAATGAATGAGTAATTTTTCAAGCAAAGTTAGATTAATGTATAATAACAACATAAACATATTTAAGATGTAATACACTTCTTATGACTTTATCATAATTAAAACTTTCTATTTTAAGGTAGTTGTGATTGAAGTACTTCGATTTTGTATTTTAGCAATTACATAGTTTGTACATAATCTTTCTTATGATGTTATTACTTTGAGATCACATCCAGATTGTTTGGTACATTATTCCTGCAGCCCCTTTTTATTTGCTTTCCAATATATATTTTTAATCTGGATGTTTGATGTACTTCCTAAGAGTGCCTCATTACATTCATGTTTTAAGAATGCAGTGGATTTACAGTATTGATGTTATATTAAACTGCAATTGAGCTTATTTCTTGACAGAGAATAACTGTGCTAATGTCCTGCTCTTTCATTCTGAAATTCTGCTATTGCCTATCTGTGTTTTAGCATTTGTGTATAGACCTCAAAACGGGCATCTGTCAAGCATCACCTTTTTTTGCTGATTTGAAAATATCACCATACTCTGATTTCAGCCGGTTCTTGTTTTCAGCTGGTTCTTGTTTTGCAAAACAGTGCTTTTCAAACATTAAGATGTCATGTGTGCAATCTGAAAAAATAATAGTTGTGACTGCATAAAGATTTTTTTTTGTGCTGTCTTAAGGTATGTGCTTGTGATATGCTCTTGCTTTCTTGAAGTACTGTTTAATAAGGCTTTTTCAAAGCCATAAAACTGCAAATTGTAGGGATACTTTTGGCTTGCAGTATGTTAACATTCTCACTTGTATTTTTTCCTCCCTTTAAGGCAAGAACTTCTAAAGTGGAATGGATGGGGATACAATGACTCCAAATTCATCTTCAATAAGAAGGGTCAAGCAGAATTCACAGGAAGAAGGTACATTGGAAACTTGTATCATTGAAGTGGAATAAAGTATATGGAGTAATTTTTTGAAAAGCTAATAAATTAAAACTCATTTTTTAGTTACAGGAAGTTCTTCACCTTATTTACTCTCAGAACAAATTATAAAGTTATTTGGCATCTAACGGGTTTATTGAACTCTGTGTATCTTTAACATGTGTACTGAAATAGTCTATGTAGCTTATGGTAGGGTTTATTAAAAGTATTATAAACAGACAAAATCAGTCTTCTCCATAACTTCATTTATTCACTGAGCATTAAATTTCCCTTGAAGAATAGGGTCAGACTGAGAATCTGCGCTGCCTCCTAAAAGTTTAGGTAATATTTGGCAATCCTGTGCAATTCTGCCAGTTTTGAGACTCACGAGCGTCAACAAGTTGCTTTACTATTTAACTTTCAGTTTATTTTTTAAAACTTTTGTGTGAGGAGCTACACAATCCCCTGCGCTTAAAAATAACAATTGCTATGTTTTGTGGTGGTAACATACTCTTCTGATATATTACCTCCTAGCCCTTTGTTCAGCAAACTTATTTTTCTGAGAAATGTCATCTTTGAATAAATAACAGGAAGATTAAGTCTAGTAAAGGATCTCTTCACTTTCTTCCAGTAGGATTTAAGTCTACCACTTGACATCATCTTTCTGCCTGAATGGGAAGAAGTCTTACTGTCTTGTCCCTAATCTTAAAATATAAGTATGCTCTTTTTAAATATAAAGAAAAGGGGGGAAGAGAAGTAAGGTTATTAGTGTGCTGTCCTTCAGAAAAATTCCCTCTAGTTTTGTGAGTTTGTGTAAACTAGCGTGAGGTAGTTTGAGCTGAAGTCAAGTAAAAACCTAACTGAGTATTTTTTTAATCCTAATTTATTTTCAGGCTCAGATTGAAATACAAAACCTTGGCTTAGGCACTTCAGCCCTCCTTATTTAGAGAGATCCTGGTGCCTTGGAATATGTCCTAATACATTTAGGAAGAAACTAGTAACTTTCCTCTATACATCATATTGACAAGTTCATCTTTAAACCAGCCCTTCATACCGTTTCAATACTGATATCTCAATATTCAATATTCCGTATTGACATCTGTCAGAATTATGCTTTCTTCCTGGAACTAATGGGATCTGTGAAGCCTTTCTGGAGAAAAGGCTATTCTAGAGGTTTTTTAAAAAAAACCTCAGATAGGACCTTCTCTTCACCTCTGTAAGACTTCCAGTAATTATTCCAGGTGATTCCTTAAGCAGTTGCTTTAGCCACCAGACTGCTGACTAGTTATGAACACTGAAGTTCTTCCAGATTTGTCTTCTACTAGTAAGCATAGCTGCTGCCATGTGTTTTTTTTGTTGTTTGTTTTTGTGAGAAGCTTGTGCCAAAGGCATGATCAAAGCATGCCGTAAGCACAACTTCTGAATAAGTATACCTGCTCAGCCATAACCTGTCTGCCGCTTTGGGTGGCCGCAGAAACAGGACTTTGAAGCCAGGCAGATTTATTGATGAAAACTTGCTTGCTTATGGGATTGGGTTGAAGTTTTGAGACTTCACTTTTTGGTTGCCTTTGCCTGAATTTTATCCAAGCGTATCCCTTGTCCTTATTTCTTTGCTTTGGTCCTTCCACTGAAAGGAATTAGGAAGAATTGGAAAATGGCAAAAAGTATTCAGAGCTACTTTCATAGCTATAGCTCACAAAGCTGAGGGCAGATAGAGTTTGAGGATGCAGACGTGCCACAGTAACAAAATCAGAATAAGAATAGGTCATTGTTTCCATAGTTTCCTCTTTAGGATTGCATGGAAGAGATTTTTTTTTGCCTGGACTTTGGCTCTTGTCACTTTGAGTGACATCTCGTTCTTTCATCTGGTATTTCTTTAGTTGTTCATCTGGGGTAGGTTATGCTATGTAGAAAGCTTCTGTACAGGGCATAGAAGGGTTGGACTTCCTTTGAGAAATAACCATTGCAGCTGCTGCTTGTCTGACTAAAGTCAAACAGTTCTCAGTCCGTTCTCCAGAATGGGGAGAGAATGGTGCTGCTCTTCCCCATCCACATTCTCTAAGTGGTGGATAAAATGAGAAGGGCCCTTTTGGGCCACACCAGTTTAGCTTCTATGCAGTAGTCCCTCTCAGTGGTAGGAGAGGCTGTTTGAAAAGAGTGGGAGCCTAACTTCTTTGTGACCAATTACCTTTGTAGTCCTTCAGCATGCAGAAAGGTTGTGCTGGAGAGGCCTAGTAGTTTTAGTATCCATTTACAGATATAACGTCCATAAACTTGCCTAATACCCTTTGAGTCTACTGATACTGTCTGCCTCTATAGCATCCTGTGGCAGCACCTTCCAGCAGGTCACTGCTGCTGTGTAAAGTAATTTTGTGTTAAAGGGAGTGCCCCTTATTTCTTGTGTTGCAGGATTAGGCGAACAACAGTTCTTTGTTCAACTTACCTGCTGCCTTCTTGATTATGCAAGACTCGGTCATATCCCCTCAGCCTTCTGACCATACGGAAGAGTCCTGGGTCCTTCAGTCTCTCCTTGCAAGGCTCTGTCACCTTGATCTTTTAGTTGCTGTTTTGTGAGCCTTCTCTGACACTACTACATCTTTCTTGATACAGGGGCAGGAACTGCACACACTAATCAAGATGTAGATGAGTGAAGGTTCTATACAGCAGCAAAAAGACATCCTCTGTCTTGCTCCTCAAACCGTTCCTGATGATGCCTAACACTGGCTGCTCTTGTATGTTATCAGTGATTTCGAAGAATTGTTAGTGATGCCAAGATTTTTACTGGATTAACTCTACCAATCTGAGTTCAGCAGAATATGCATATACCACTTAAATTTTTTTGCTCTTGCAATTATCTACATCAAAGCTTATTTGCTGTCTTCATTTACCTGCACATTTAGTTTTTTTAAGGTTCTTGTTCTGTGCTATCAGTGTGGTATGTGTCTATCCAAAATAACTTAATCTCCACCTGTTTGGAGATTCTGCTCTTCATTCCAGATCACTGGTGAAGATTTTAAAGAAACTGGTCCCGGTATTGCTGAGTGGGGACCTGCATTGCTGAGCCTGTCTTGAGTAGGGATCAATAATCCCTGCCCTTTGCTTTCTGTTTTAACAATCTTTTAGTCAGTAGGAGAACCTTTCCTTCAGTTCTGTAGCAGCATACTTTCTTTGATAATCTTTGGGGTGGAACCTTTGTGGAAATACGAATGTTTGTTCATTGTATCCCCTTTATTCACTTTGCTTTTATATCTTCATAGAACTCTGAGGGTTAGTGAAACAAGCCTTCCCTTTCTAGAAGCCATGCTGACTTTCCCAGCAGGCCATGCATATCTGTGTGTCAGACAACCTTTTTGCTATAGACTCTATCATCTCACTGAGAGTAGAATACGCTTAGTGTGAGGAACTAAACCTATACTCCCAAAGTAGAGGGTTCCTTGCACTATCTGCATATGCACAAAGCTTGTTACTGGAGAGGTAACCATATGAAGTTGCGTTCTGGGCAATGCATTGCCGACTCACTGCTGGGTCTTGAGTTAAACTTGGTGGACTTGTGGTAGTTCTAGTTTGTCCTCTGAATAAGTGGTGAAGATTACCCTTACTGAACAGTAAGTGGGCAATACCAGGAGAAGGAACACACCAAGCTAACCTGAGGATCTCTATCTTTGTTACAGACTTCCAATGCAAATACATTGACCTTTTATTGCGTAGTGCACTTTCCTTTCCACAGAATTCATTTAACAGTTCCATATAGGTATGATGCAGAAACGGCTGCCACAGGAGGAGTGACTGGATGCTATCTTTCAAATTGAAGAGTCTAGCTGAGTTGAGAGATAAGATTGTAGCCTTTCTTAACTAGGAATGGCATGGGGAGATGCAGGATTTTTTCTCCAAAAAGAGAACTAGGAGATGAGGAAACAAAGGAATTGATCTTTCTGCATAGTAGCTGACTTAATTGTGGAGTTTGCCACAGTTGTGAAGGGCAGTGTTGTAACTGGGTTAACAGTGAATAAAAAAATCTTGAAGAACGCCAGTCAGGCCTAATGCATTGATCCAGGTGCAAGCTGTAGTAAGGATTCTCAACTGCTGAAAGTTCTTAATACTAAAGAAAGTCCTTGTTCTTTTCTCCTTGGAGGATGTTTGTACATACCTAAACATGCGCAGTGTGTATGTATAATTATTAACAACAATTTCTACCTCAGCAGTGTGTCCCCATGCTCACTTGTTCTGCATGCAGTATGCATGGCCATCAACAGCTCATCTGTCCCTTGTCTGTGCAGCTGATTCAAAGTAAATTCTCATTCACATCTGTCATGTTAGATAAGCTCTTGTCAAAGAAGTGAAATACTTTTGAATTTCCATGATCCCCTTCAGGGGTTTGACCTTGGACTCCCCATGCCATAAAGCTGTTTCTGCTGGGACAGTACATGATTTCTTCATCTTCTGTGGTGTTCAGATAGTACAGAGGGCTGTACAGCCTGGGAAGTATTGATTTTTTTTGTTTTGTGTTAGTGTTGTGCTCACCAAGACGGCTAGCTTTTCCTTGAAATATTTAATGAGGAGATCAAGTTGCTTAGATTAGAAAAATGTAGAAAAGCAACCAGTTCTAGGAATTCTGGTGCAGAATTGCTGATGACATTCCTGCAGAATGTCTTTGTTTTTGGATTGGGTCTGAGCTTTCAGGTCTCACGTCTTCAAATTCCATCAAATGCTTTGCTATTGTAATGATGATGTGATGCTTTTCTTGAGTGTTAATCACTCTAGTTGACTAGAACTTGCTGCAGATAACCTCTGCAGTACTCCCTACAAAAAATCCTCCTTTTCAGTTCAAACACCAAACAAATATTGCAACTACTCCTTCTCTGAGTCTCAGATGGACATACTTTCGCATCACTTGATGGATTCTGAGTTTGAGGGAGAGACTTAATACTGTTTTTCCTGACAACATGCAAGTTGTGCTGAAAGCAGGATTTGTGCGTGTCTAAGATGGCTTTTGTTTACACTGCAGTGTGTCCTTGCATACCCACTCTTTACCAGTAGCTGGCATGAAAATTGTCAGTCTCCTACCTTACTGAAAGGGAGAGACGTTTTTTAAAAATGAAGAGAAGATGGTAGTGTTGGGAGTTCTTAAAAGTGCTATAATTCCCAAAGATCTTAAAGTGAAAGTTAACAATTGATATGATTTTCTATGTTAAGTAAAGAATACTTGAATATTATGAAGTGTGCAGTTCCATGAAAGCTGAATATATAGGCCTTGCAGATAAAAGCATTTCATTAAAACTTAATATTTGTGGTTATGCAGAATCAAAAGTAGTGTATCTGACGTGCATTGTTTTAATTTAAAATGACCATATGTAATATTGACTTTTCAGGTACAGGTTAGGTGGTATGGTATTGCCAACTTTTAAGGAATGGATAGAAAAAACCTTTGGAGCAAGTCTGGAGCACAAATCTACCTCTAGAGTAAGTAAATAGCTGAAAAATTCAGTTCCTTTGAACAGTAGTCTTAGTGATGCTCAAGACCAGTATCTGTTAAAGATGATTCAGAAGTTGTCAGATGGCCTTACATTTGGCTGACTTAAACAGTGTAGTAACACTTTAAAGAGCTGCTATTTGTTATAGAACTACTACAGGAAGTCTTCAGTGACTTTAGCAAAACTTGTTCTCGGTTAGCTGGTAATACTTTAATTGCAATAAGCCTCCTTATTTTTGTCCGTAGTGGTAGGTTGTTTCCCCACTTCACTGAAGCTGTTAGCCTAGGAGGAATTATGTATGATAACTTAATGGCTCTTTGGGAGAACAAAGAAGATACAGTGGAACTAAACTATGCAGTGTTTTCAGTGCATTTAATGTTATCCGAGTTCTCTTTACTCTAAGGATTCCTTTGAAGCTGCAGGTCCCTGACTAGATAGCAGCTTAGCAGTGTTGGAAGCAGGCTATGCTCATACTGTGAAGTGACCCTGCTTTGGGAAAGCTTCTTCAGTTAGCTCAAGATTGCGTTTTCTCTGAAGCAGGTATTCTCTTAGGACCTGAAAACCTGAACGTTTCTTCAGGCTTCTGCTTACCAAGCCCTGCTTTCATCTGTTGCAACTTGCAGGCCAATGCATTTGGAAAAAAATCTGTCTTCGTTTGAGCATCTTCCTTGACCAAGATAGGCTTTCAGTGGCTTCTGCTCACAGCAAAATTGCTTTCACTTTGTGACCAATGGCCCTGAGAGCAGTTGTTCCCCTTTTTATGGATAGAGAAAATGTAGAAAGTGTATTCAGAGGATAAGGGAAGTTCCTCAAATATTATCCTGTTTCTACAGCGCATACTGCAAATCAGCTCCTCAGGACCTCCGCCAGCAATGTGAGTGCTTCCCTGTTATGTAATGCACGCCTAGTTCTGATGCTCTTGTAATCTGAATTTTGTTGCAACCTTGACATAGAATAGAAGACCCCTTTGGAGTCTTTAGTCTGTTCTGGACTTACAGAAATTCCCAACTATTACCATGGGTCTTCTGTTCTAATGTCTCGGTGATAGTTTCTAGTTTATATTTCAGGTTGTCATGCTATGTTGCTTTTTACTATCTACTATCATCAGGGCATAAAGGCACTCAGGTATAGGAACAGCAGTTGGAACGGCGCTTCTTGGTCCATTAGTCTTTCTAGCTTCTCTTTCTGCCTCTGTTCTGTAAGACTGGAGGTTTCCCTAGTGTATGCCACTTTCCTGTTATCATTAGCAAGCAGTAAACGTTCCTGCTTCCTTGATGTTCAAGGCTGCTTGACTTTTCTCCCCTCTTCAGACTAGAAAGGACTCATCAACAGAAGCAGTTTGGGCTTGGCTCAAGTAGGCTTCATCTCCAACCTTTGTATATGAATCCTATTGAAATAGCTCAGTCCCACAGGAATAAAAATATGTTTTCATCTGACATTGTTATAGATGGTTATTAATTTTTCAGCCTAAAGATGAAAAACTAAAGTATAAAAAACCTTACAGGAGAAGCAGAATCAAGGTACTTAAAGCTATATGCAAGGAATAGTTCTAGTTTTGAGTAGACTGTCCCCTTATGTGGGGAATCAAGCTCTTTAAGCATCTGATGTTCAACTTGAAATGATATAAATGATTCTGTCTACACAAATCCTTGAGAAATTAAAGTTTAACGTGTAAGCACAGCTAGCAGGGATTTTTAACAGCACTTTAAAGATTTCTATTCATTTGATAGCTATTTGTTTGATAGTGTTTCTCAAGTTGCCCCAGTTTCCCTTGGAGCAGTGCTCTTTTAGGTTAGCAACAGCACGGTGTGAATGTGCATTAGGAGCAGTTCCAGGGAAGAAAAGGGGAAGATGTCCTGTCTAATTCTTTGAGTGGCTTTCTTACTAGAACTTTCTTCAGCACCATTGTGGACAGTTCTGTTAACATTCTTAGATCTCACAAGTGAAAACTTACTGCTTTCTACAATAACTTTGTTGCAGAAAGCACAAAGTTGAGAAATTATCAATCTTTCAGAGGTCCTGTCACCTGGGATCAGTCTCCTTGTGAGCCTGTACTTGCAGTGTTGCCACAGGTTTCCCTTTTTTCCTCTAAGACTTCACTTGTTGAAAATGCTTTCCTTAGGCAAATTAACTTCATCAAATGGATGAGTCTATTCAGACTGAACATACTTTCCTAGAAAATGTCACAGAATCAAGCTTAGAGACGAAGTATTGAAACAGTACACGGGAAATCTGATCCTGACTTGCTCTATGCTTGTTGTGATAGGCTCATAAAGTCATCATCTCTTGGTAGCAATGTGCTTCTCACCTGAACCACAACACTTGATCTGACTTCTGTGTCTGTAAGTAACAGTGATTATGTTGGAGGGAAAAGCCTTTTTTGGAAAACAAACAAATTCCTTTCTCAGATGTCTAACACTGTATTTCAAGAAGTATAACATCATCGTTCAAAAGCAAGTCAAAACAGCACATATCCCCGTCAACAAGTGAAATTAGTGTTAAGGCTAGGTTTGTAACTGATATTTAGCTCACAAAACTTGGAAGCTCAAAGGTAGCCAAGTGGCTGTTTTACAGTTTCCGTATGGGACGTGATCATCTGCTAATAAACCTATCTCGTGTAGATGTTCCTCAATGAATAATCTGTAAGTACTTTTTAAAATCTTGATGTTACCTTACATTTTTTCTTCTAATGGGCACTGTTAGGCAAGCTGCATCATCATGGGTCTACTAATTACCTAAAAACTTACCTATTGAAGGTAAAATCTTTCTTCTTGCAGGTCTCTTACTCTTGAGATCCAGCCAGTTCAGAATAGAGTGCTGCAATGGTGGCAGATAAGAGACTATTAATCTGTTTTCCTTACTACTAGTTTGATAACTGGTGCTGTACTGTGTTTTATCTTAACAAGCCACCCATTACATGTCAGCAGAAAGCATAGGCTGTTCTGGAGGCTGTGTAGAGCAAAGACATGTGAAAAACTTCCTTCCAGGAAAGGAAATTTGGATGGGTGGATGCACTTTTTTCTAGAAGATTGAAACTTAAGAAGCGAAAGAAGAGTGAACTTAGTTTTTACTTGTTAATAAACATAGGCTAATCTTAATCAAAGAAATAGCTTTTTTAATGTAGATTATTTTGTACAAAATGTTTGGCAGTGAAGTTGTAAGCAAGCTCATTTGGCAGCACATACAGTCTTTCCTGTTGACTTTATAACAAAATGGTAAGAATGTTCTTCCTTTTGAGTTGAAGCTGATGTCACTTAACTTACTACTAGTGACTTCATGTTGAAATTCCAAAAGACCGGCAGTATGTTTCAGTTAATTTTGCATAACTTAATTTTTTTAGGGGTATGTTTAAAATAAATGTGATATTGGAGAATTGAAAATTTTCCTGTCCTTGAACTTGGGGGACTTAGATAATTGGAAAGATGGCGGTCACTTTTTTCCAGATAGAAGTGAATTAGAAAGTTGAGGTTTTCAAGGGATAAGACTAAAACTTTATATTCAATTAAACTCCTTAATTAGAGGCCATATGTAATAGGCCTTTCTTTAGAGAAGTAACCCATGGAAAAGCTTAAACGAACCTGGAACTTCCTCTGTTCATTACATTAAAAAAGCTACTTTTCTGAGTCTTCAAAGTACAACTACACTTAATATCCACAGAGAACTTTATTTTTAGGAGCTGGTGCGTATAAAGTGTCTTCAGATGGATTTTAAGAATTCAAAAGCTTTACACCTGAATTTCATTTTTCTACTTTATCTAAAGCAGAGTCCAGAAAAGAAGAATTAAGTGCCTCAGTCTGAATCTTGGGAAGCCATAAGAATAGGATGTGAAACATTCTTCCTGCTAAGTAGGCATATGGAAGAATGGATTGTTTAGAAAACTTAAAACACAGGGATACCCCTCTGGATTTGTACATCCCTGATTTAAGTGCTGCTGGTAGGGCAAAAAGTCCAGTGTAGTTTCTCTGAAGATGTCCAAAACTGTTTTCCCAAAGAGCTGATCAGGACTAGCTAGAGGCTTCTGGAAACACCTGCATGTTGATGACTGCACTTGTATTTTGTGTAGTCTTTCTAATGTGTGAGATCTGCTTAAAGTGTGCCTGTTATGTTAGATCACTCCAACTTAGGTATATTTTTGCCTTGCTTCTGGTTTCTGATTAGAGTTTGATCTGAGAAGGATTTAACTTCCGGCTCATGACAGAAGGAAGGGAAGTGGTTTGGCAGAAACAGAAGTAGATCCGCAATTTGCGAAAAGCTTAAGCATGTGTTTCTTTGAATATTGTTTCCTCCTACCATTTAACAAAAAAAAATTAACTTTTAGTTATTATCTCTTGTCAGTAGGAAGATCTTTAGGTTCTGTTCAGGCCCTGTTTTTCCTGAGTCTTGGGAAGTCTTCAAAATGCAAGTATTTTGTTCAGCATGTACTTGCAAGCTAATATATTTCCCCAAACTTATCTGAAGGGAAAAGGGTCAGAATGTGCTACTGAAAGAAAGCTTCCTGTTTCCAGCCTAGTTTTCCTGTGTCTAGTCAGTTGAGTGCATGGTAGGACAAATAGGATCTATGCTTGATAACTTCAGTGTTTCTAATGTTACATTTTAAGTAGTTAAGCTTTGGTAGTTCCTCAGTTAGTGGTAACTCAGTCTTATTCTTTTATAGAACAGAAATGCTGCAAGAATAAGCCTGCCTTTAATGAACTTCTTGTTTTGTAGGCATCCTTAAATGTTAATGATGTACCTCCATCTGTTGTAAATGAAGAATTCCTTCAGGATCTTAGAGCCACTAAAATCTCATATTCACAAGATGCAGAAGATAGGGTATTCAGAGCTCATGGTAAGAGAACTTCATTTATGTAACTGTGTGCTTTAGATGCTTCCTGTTCTAACTTGCTAACTTGTTTGTATTTCAGGTCACTGCCTACATGAGATATTTGCACTCAGGGAAGGAATTTTTAGGCGAATTCCTGATATAGTTGTCTGGCCTGGTAAGCTTTCGTTTTTCTTTTACCTTTGCATCTGGGAGGACGATGTTTCCTAAACTGTGCTTTCTTGTCAAGGGGAAGCTCTCTTCATTCATTGATTTCACTCATGTTTGTTAAAACAGAAGTGAAGGAGCTTTTTCATGAGTGGTAACCATGATCACTTAATTAGATTACAGGTTGTGCCTGGGAAATCCCATCACCTCATATCACTATGAGGTAGTCAAATTCATTGTTAAATGTAGTCAATGAAGTTTTTGTGGACAGCTGAATTCAACACTTAAACAAATTCAAAATCACTGTAGTTAGTGCCCTAGGAGTAGTTGTTTAAAAAGCGATCTAAATCTTGTTTTTAATGGAATACATGATAGTAGATGGGTGGTGAAGTGCTCGTGTTGAATAACTTGGTTCTGTGACATGTACTGTCTTACTTCAAAAAACAAGAGCATGACACCTGTAACTCTTACGAGAACCCTTATCAAGTCAGTTATCCTTTGTAGAAGTGGCAGTGCAAATTGAGTGCAGGCTAGATGCACCTTCAACAGTGTATTCAGTAATGTCGTTTTGGATAACGGTATGTAACAGAGTATGCTTACTTCTGTCTCTTGGAAGGATATGAGTACTTAGAGTGATACAGAATAACTTGTATGAGTGTGCAAATAAAGTTACTTGCTAGGTCACAGTTCTCTGGTCCCTGGGAACTTTTTTCCTTATGCCGTGCTCTAATAGTCACTTGATCTAAGAGTACTTGTTAATTTCTATTTAAGCTGTATGAATCCAGCCTTTTTACTTTAGTTTTTAAATTTTCTCTAATACTTTGATAATTGCGCTGTATTAGAAATCCCAAGATTCCTGATAAGAACTTAGTCTTAGCTCAGTCTTGCTTATTTTATTTAGAAAAAATTCATATATGGGAACCAAAAAAGCAGAGATGCTATAAAACGTATCTGATTAGTTGAGTATGAGTACTGACATGTCAGCGCTGGTGACTATGAACAGCATTTCTCACAGCTTTATTTTATGCACCTCCAAAAGCAACTAAAATAGAATGGTTCACTACCTTGGTTTAAAATTGCTCTGTATGGCAAGAGCAAAGTAGCCAGGGTTCCTATGCCTGTTTATTCAGCCCTGTTCATTCTCTGCTGTTTGCACAAACTCAGTAGGTACTGTATCTAATCGCATCTTTTTTGGTGCTCCTTCTTTTCCTTGCCTGTGCATGAGCATTTTTGCTTCCTTCTGACCAGATACAGAATGCATTCTAAAAAAGTAAATATGACCAGCAACTTTAATTTTGAAATTGAATGTGAGCCAGGATGAAAAAGATGTGGTGTTCAGGTCTCAGAAGAGACTTTTCTCACTTAAGGTAGATTGCCCAATTTATTTTAAATTAAAGAAGCTTTCAGCTTAAATTTATTCTCCCAAATACTTTGAAATGTTTGCTAGCCTGTTTTGCCCCGACAATTCCCAGGAAGTCTCAATCCATGAGCAGAGCAAGAAACCAAGAGTTAGGTTTTTTAAAAGCAGAATTATTTCGGGTCTGAACTTCAGTCTGGAGCTCTGATACTTTTGAGCCTGCCTTGTATTTGTTACCTAACTTTCTCTGAAATGTCTTCCTTGCTGATGTCTGAAAGGCTCCTGCTTATTCATACTGCTGTATTTGAACAAAAATAATAGGCAAAAATCCTGTTTATAACTGTTTGTATTTTTTTTTAGTCTGCCATGAAGATGTAGTTAAAATTGTGGAGTTAGCCTGTAAGCACAGTGTCTGTATAATACCATTTGGTGGTAAGTATTATCAAATCTCAGTCGTCTTAATGTCACTAGCTAATGTACTTGAAATCAATTATGATGTGTAGTGGTAACGAATTGTGCCTCTAATTCAAAAATTAGAGCTGTTAATGGTATTTTAAGTGAACTTTGAGTGATCTTGCTGTATTAAGAGCTGCTATGTTCAGTTTAGTAGAAGTCAATTAAACAGCTTCAACGTTGCATGTGTAAGAGCAGTGACTGAGGTTGAAATATCTCTGTAGCTCTGTACCTTGGAAGCCTTCTAGGAAATAGTGAACGTGAGATTCAAATGTTTGTTAGGGGTCTTGTGTGTTTGGATGCTTATGCTTGTGAGCACAGAGCACAAGTAAGGTAAATTAGTTGGTTAATTGTTGGAGTGCTGTGTACCATTGAAGCTCATAGGTCCAGGGAGGATAGAATGGTTGGGCACCATTCTGCAGAATCATTAACCATAATTTTAATTTGCTTTCAGACTGCTAGACATGAGAGTTTAGAGCAGAGGTTCCTCTGGTAAGGGTTTTGCAGGAAAGGTTCCTATTTTCATAGGCTATTTCTTTGGTTGAATAATCTGAGCCCTTCTCAGTCTAGAAGACTTCTAAAGGACTTTAATAGTGGAATTTGTCCCTCTAAGCCTGCTGAGGTTGAGGGGGTGAGCTATCTTGTTTTAACTTAGAGCTCAGGGGACAAGGGATGTTAGTTTTTATGAACTCATTTTGAGAAGCTTTCTCTCACTAACTTGTTTGTGGGATAAGTCTATGCATGTTTTATTTCATACCTGCTTATGCTGTAAGAATATAGACGGTGCGGACTGTAGCAAGGATGCTTATTATTTGACAGTAAGAACCCCAGAAACCAGCTGCATTAGCCTGGTATTGTACCTCCTTAAAATACTGTCATCCAAATGTCAGATGCGTTTGGAGAGCTGTATATGACCACTACGAATTACCTTTGGTACCAGTAAATGAGTACAGTAAAAAGCAGAAGTTTTAACTAGCTCTTGATCACTGACAGGATACAGGAAGATCTTCAGATTTTGTCCAAGTCTGTAACGTTTAATTACAGTTTACTTCCCAAAGTTATTACTTTGGGAGATGAGGGGTATTTAAGGAAAATATTTCCTTTCCTATCATGGGAAACAAAGGTGACTGGTGATGTTGTTCGTGGGGTGTTTGTATTTTAGCTGTCACTGTCTCTGCACTTGCAGCTGCTTGAGAGGGATTCTTATGGTTGCTTACTGTGGTTATTTTTAGTATTCCAGTCTTTTTTTCCCCTTACAACTTTTGTAGTCTTTGAGAAGCCAGAGGTTTCTTAGAGGTTGTTCTGTAATACATTAAAGATGCATTAGAAAACTCCAAAGAGGTTACCCATTTGTTTTTATTCATCTATCTGTGGTTAAAGCCTTTCAGTTTCATACTTGATTAAAGATAAGTATTGCATTCTTATATTAAGTAGATTTCTTCAGTCAACTTTCCAGATAAAAACATGGTATCTGTGTATTTCTGTCATACGGTATATAGAAACAACTGTTTCTTGGATGGCTTTGACGTTGCCCATCCTCTCCTATTTTAAAATTATATTCTGGACTTTACTGTGAGCAACTGAGGTGGTTTCGTTAATGGGTTTTGTTATCAAGTGCTGTGAAAGCACTCAGTCAGCTTCAATGTTGCCTTGATTTTGTGAGACTCAACTTGAGAACAGGGACAGCCTTAAAGCACTGATAATTAGCCTCAGATAAATAGCTGATTTCAGTGGTCTTTCTTTAATAAGCTCAGTATGAGAAAGGAAGTAGAAAGAATAGGAGGGGTGCACGTAAAATTCTTAGGTAACTTTTACTGAACAATGCATTTCCCATGTTTTCAGGAGGGACGAGTGTCTCTAGTGCTCTTGAATGTCCTGAGGAAGAGAAAAGAACAATTGTCTCCTTGGACACTTCACAAATGGTATGTAGCCCTTCTAAGAGGAAAATCGTTGAAATTAAAAACAGCCTACAAATACTTTAAGATGATCACTGGAGAATGTTTCTGTGCTTGTTGCAAGAATAAAGAAGAGAGAGAAGTATTATTTACTGGGTCCCGTGTTTAACTTATTCATCAGTGACCTGGACGAAGGCACAGAGGGCACCCTCAGCAAGGTTGCTGATGGTACTAAACTGGGAGGAGTGGCTGATACACCAGAGGGCTGTGCTGGTGGGCAGAGAACCTCAAAGTTCAGTAAAGGGAAGTGCAGGGTCCTGCACCTGGGGAGGAATAACCCCAGGCACCAGTACAGGCTGGGGGCTGACCCGCTGGAAAGTAGCTCTGCAGAGAAGGACCTGGGAGTCCTGGTGGACAACAAGTTGAGCATGAGCCAGCAGTGTGCCCTTGCATTGGCCAAGAAGGTCAATGGTATCTTGGACTGCATTAGGAAGAGCATCGACAACAGGTCGAGGGAGGTGATCCTCCCCCTCTCCTCAGCCCTGGGGAGGCCACATCTGCAGTGCTGTGTCCAGTTCTGGGCTCCCCAGTACAAGAGAGACATGGCACTCCTGGAGCGAGTCCAGCGAAGGGCTACTAAGATGATTAAGGGACTAGAGCATCTCTCCTATGAGGAAAGGCTGAGGGAGCTGGGCCTGTTCCGCCTGCAGACGAGAAGACTGAGGGGGAATCTTATCAATGTGTGTATCAGAATGTAAGTGTCTGAAGGGAGGGTGTTGAGAGGATGAGGCCAGACTCTTCTCCATGGTGCCCAGTGACAGGACGAGAGGCAGCAGACAAACTGAAGCACAGGAAGTGCCATCTGAACATAAGGAAAAACTTTTTTTACTGTGAGGGTGACTGAGTACTGGAAGAGATTGCCCAGGGAGGTGGTAGAGTCTCCTTCCTTGGAGATATTCAAAAGCTGCCTGGATGTGATCTTGTGCAGTGTGCTCTAGGTGACCCTGCTTGAGCAGGGGGGTTGGACTAGATAATGTCCAGAGGTCCCTTCCAACCTCAGCTGTTCTGTGATCATGGTACCTGGACCATGTGTGACTAAATTAGTTCTCCTTTAGTTCAAATGGTATTTGGCTAATGTTAGCCCTATACCACTTCATATAGCCTGTGTATTTGTTTAATTAAACATATATGCTGTTAAGCCTTGTCCTAGTAGCTTTACCTAAGTAGAAGTCAGGGGAAGCTACTATTCTTCTGTATAGAAACTTCCATTGTATGATAAGAAGTAATATCCAAGGTTAAGTGGAAGCCTAGAGGGAGGTTGTTATAAGTTTCACCTTTTTTTCAGACTAACAAATACTTGAACAGTGAAGGCTGGGATGACCAAAGATTGTAACTCAACTTGGGAAAGCTTAAGTTAACAAAGGCTAGATTTTGTGTAGATAACATCTTGAGAATATGAAGTTCACAGCTTTCTGGCATTCTGGAAATGAAGTTTTTCTAATTCATAGTGTCAATTTTCAGTTTCCAGCTTTCTGTTTGGAAGGAGTTCTTGTAAAATCTATTTTGTGGTTGCATGGTAGAGATGCTTCAGCCATGGCTCTGTGTCCTTAATGTAAGGCTCTACTGTCTCTGAGCTCCCATGGAGCTTTAATTCCTTCAACCTGAGAGTAAGGCCTGAATTCTGGCTCTTCTCTGTAAACATTCAGTGGTGGTTCAATTGTGTGCTGCTTCTCACTCTTTCTGGCTACAAAGTGAGTGGGGTTTTTTTGGTTACAAGAGTGGTAGTTACACACTGAAGGAAGCTACTTTATTGTTTGGGCCTCTCTGTGCAAGTGAAATCCAAAGAGTACAATACTGGCTAAGGCCCTCATTTGAACTCACTGTGACTCAGTAGCCTGCAGTTTTGACTTCTATCTGGTTTGGGGGTGGGGAAGAAATGCAGCTGGCTCTTACTATCATGCTTTTGTCTGCTGGATAGGTAAGTAAGTATCAAGTCAGAAAATAGACCACTATCTGCTAACGTGTTTTGAATGGCCCAGCCAGATAGCTTCTGTGGCCATTAGTATGTAGGGGAAATAAGGCAAGGTGAAAAAGTGCGCTATCTGAATTCAAAGCTGAGTGTCTCAGAACAACTAAGATACCTATTAAGCATTTATTGAAATAGTAAAACTTAGCTGATCATCTTTGCCTTACATATAGGGTCTATTACTAATGTGTTAAACTTTGTGCTTTACCTAATCATGTCACATTGCAGCTGAAGGTGTTTGAAAGGAGCTAAAAGAGTTGACTTTGAATAATTAACTAGCCCAGCTGTTATGAGGGGAGAAAATTGTTTTAAATGATAGTTTAAGTTGGACTACAAGATGCCCACATCTTTGTCTTTCTATAAATTGAGGCAAACTGAAGTTAGAACTGTTTCTCTTCAATGAAATATGAATGCATAGTGTATGTAAGTACTTGAAAACCAGAAACCAAACTGAATGCTTTTTTGATCTGGTATTGCACTAAGCATTTTAGAATGTGCGAGCTTCACTTTTCCTTTCATTTTCATGAAACTTGTATGGATTTTAATACCAGCCATTAATGTGACTTGGAATAGACAGGTATGAAAGTAAGAAAGTTTGTGTCTGAGCAGGAGAATCAGCGGTCTGCTGTTGCGGCAGACAACTCTGGAAGTACCACATAACAGTTCAGAGTATTTTCTAATGCTACGACTGTTTATGGATTTTAAATTTTACTAAATGGAAGCTGTAGACTTCAATGGATTTTAAATTTTACTAAATGGAAGCTGTAGACCTCACTGTGGTGACTGCTGAAGACCCGTATCTGGAAAACTGAAGGGTGGGCAAAGTTGTTTTTGACAGAAGAAGCTTGATATATCTTCTGTCAACAAGCCAGATTTTGCAGATTTATGCTCTGGATCATATCTCAGATGTCTCTGAAAACTGGAATTGAATTGAAACCACTGACCGTATACTGTTACTTTGTCAGCGTGCGGATGCTGTCTAGGAGATGTTGCCCCATGCTAGATGTACATGTAGCATTGTGGTCCTTCACAGATGTTAATTCCTTGTTGAAACCGAACCAAATGAACTTCATTCTGGAAGACAGACACTTGATACAAATACTAATTACTTTTACTTGACATGACATTGTAGAAATGAAATTAATATGAATTTAATATTCACACTTTCTTTGTTCCAGAATTTGCAAAGGGATTGTTAACTACATGTTGCCTCTGTCCATTAATGACTTTAAGTTATCTTAATACTGCTTTGTCTGACCTCTGTCCCAGATAATAGCTCTGCAATCCTTATTGACACTGAAAAGTGGAAGTTGAGTCTTCTGTGATGTCCTTAGTATAAAGAGAGCTAAAACTGGACTTTTTTCCTTCACATGGATTGCTCTTTTGACAATGATGCTTAGTGTAGCATGTGATTCATATTACTTGCTGCTTTTTCTGTTTATTAGAATGTACTGGTGGACAGTGAGTGTCACCATCAGGCAAAAGGAAATAGTCTTTTCAGGTATTTTAAAATTCTGAAGTACCTAAACTACAGCATGTCAGAGGAGGCATCTTGCCTCTAGTTTAGCATCAACATCCAAGCTGAGGTGGATTATTGGCTTCTCTCTATTTAACCCATGAAGTATATTCAGGAATACTTTTCTTGGTGCACACTTAACGTCCAGATGTTTGAATTCAGGCGCCTTAAATTGTTTTACTTGTGAAAAATCACTCTTCCATTTCTATAAGAACTTTGACTTATTTTCTTCTGGCCTTTCTGCATAGCTTCTCTAAGCATTCCCAGTGTAAATTATGACTAAGTCTAATGTTGTTTATATCCACTTATAATAGTGACTATACATATTGTAACCTGTTGTGTAGCTGTATGAGCGGATGAGGGAGCTCAGCTTCCACTGCTGTTGCAAGCACAATTGTATTAAATTTAATGAGCAGGTGTAGTGGTCATAGTGTTATGGAAGCAAGTAAACAAATCTTTAGCACTGATTCTTAATTTTGATTGTTTTTCAACAGAATCGGATTCTCTGGATAGATGAGAAGAACTTAACAGCTTGCGTAGAAGCTGGCATTGTTGGACAAGATTTGGAAAAACGGGTATTTTAAACTTGTCACGCAGTGTTTCTTCATATCATCCTTAAAGTTGCTTCTCATATCTTGTCTAAATCATTGAATTGTGACTTAATTCTTGTGTATTTTCTTGCAGACTCTAGTCTACTAGGCATTAGATAACATGGTTATGGACTATATCAGACTGGATGCTGTATTTGAGATATATATATATACACACACTTACGTTTTTGAATCAAAACTATTGTTAGCTCCGTCCACGGAACATATGTGCAGTAATAAGTTGACAGTTCATAGGACGCAATACTGTGCTTCCTCTTGCTGATCTTAGCTATGCCTTTTTTGTGATTAAAGGCGTAATGCTTTACCAGATAGTTACAGACCAGGGAAAGTATGAGTTTTCATTTTATGGTGCATGTTTTAGATATTTTGGCCAGAGGTATTTTCCTCAGAAAGGCTGGGGCGTATAGCAGTATAGCAGACTTAATGCTGCTTAAAGTTCTAGAGGAGAGCTGAGGGAAGGATGTAGAGTAGTCCAAAACATGGATCCAATGGAAAATTAGTCATTTCTAAGTGATCTTTAGGTACTCTCAATTGGTTTATCAGACAAGTCACAGCACTGTCTCAGGGTCTTTCTCAGAGTTCCTCTATAATCAAGCAAGCTGCAGATGTTTGCTATTCTTCAGGATGCACCATTCTGTTCATAAAACCTGTTGGATTCTAGGACTTGCCTTTTTTGGCCGCTGTATGTCATCTAAACTTTTTGAAGTACCTACAAATATTTACAAATATGCCAAAATTTGCTTAAAGTTTCTTTTGAACAGCTGTTTTTTCACCCCCCCTCCCTTTTTTGGTGGGGGGAAGGGAGGAAGACTTGTCAGGCTTTACCAACAGAGCAGTTTATGATGAGAAAAACGGCCTTTCATGCCTCTTATTTTATATTCTCTTTTATAGTTCAATGCAGTATTTTAACCTTGCCAAACTAGTTTCTTTTAAAAGGTTAGAATTAAAATGCAAGTAGTATATTCCCTTAATTTTAAATGAAGTTCTTTTCCTAGGGTGGTAGTTTCTGGTATTTCACTACTATTCTATCACTTAGAGTAAGGCGCAATGCTCCTTTGCCTATTATGGCTCTTCAAAGTTGAAATACTACTGTTGTGGTTCTTTAATTTGAATCTGCTTTTTGATCGGGAAACTAAACTGTTTTCAGTCAGGCTTCCCTCAGCTATGTAAAAGGGTACTGGCTGTCAATTTGTTTCATATTGAATATGAACTTGTGTTCATACAAAGGTTTTAGCATACGGAATGACTGAGTACCCTAGGAGCTTCAATGCGACCCCCTCAATGAGTGATGAATACAGGGTTGGAACATCTATCTACTTTAAAGTGTGCCTGTATTTAGAGGTTGTTATGCATATTTGAATTACAAAACTTTTAATGAGTGGGATGTGATGACTAGGACTGCTAGTTGTACTTGTTCTGTCTAGTATAATCCAGGCACAACTATGACTAGTATTATAGTTTTTGCCAGTGCAAACTTCAACTGAAATACAGGTGGAACTGGGAATACATAGTTGGACACTGCAAAAGGAAAACTACCCAAAAGTTTTTTTGATTTGGCTTGTAACTTGCTAGCCTTAAGCTTTGAGTTGTAGAATGGGAGGCTGTCAGTGCACAGAAGGATTTCTCGCAAGAGGGTGGCATGAGTAAGATAAGTAGGGTAGAAAGCCCAACATCACTGGAGTAAAGGTGAGTACTTGTGAACATGTGACAAATACAGCTAGAAGAAATGGGCAAGACTTGAAGGGAAGACATCGGATTCTGGAGGCTTGAGGAAAAATGGAATTGTCGTGAGTTTCCACTAGAGTAACAGTCAAAATGGAAAAGGCTTTTTCAGAAAAACTTAATGTTGCAGTAGTAAACAAAAAGTGAACTTAAGAATAGAATGAATTTTTTTTTAAATCTGGGCTATATTAGCAGCAGTAGCAAGGGATCTTAGTTTGGTTCTTCACTATGTACCAGGAGACAGTACAAACATGAAATGTTGATGAGCATGCAAGGAAAGGAATCCAGTTCTGTTGCCGTAAGTGGAAAGTCCAGTTTAAGTGGCTTTACCAGCATTACCTAGGATACTTTGCCATAAGGTTTGTCTTCCTCTCTATTCCTTGTTGTTCTTTGCGTGCTTAAGTTAACCACTATGCTATCTGATTTACAGATATTCTAAGCTTTATAACAGTAACTAAAATCAAGAACTGTACTCTAAGGAAATAAGACTGAGAACTTGATTTTTGACGAGTTTGGCCATAAAAGTTGTAACGGGACATTCAGTTAGTGTATGCTTCACACGTTTGTCCATCTAGCTACTGATTGCAGCGTGATTAAGACACCGTTTTGTGATATGAGAAGATTCATAACTCCAGATGCTACAGCGATGAACTCTGAAAGGCTGCTGAAGTGGCTTGTTCTTATGCCAGAGCAGAACATGAAAAAAATAGGTGGTAAATAAAGGCTAGAGGTGAAGAAAGGGTGATGAAGATGGAACAATATTTGCTGTTTCTGTAGTGAACATTATCCATCAGATTATGATTCTCTAGGGAAAAGCTACTATGTGCTCATGCTTTCTGGATGATCTTGCTATGCTGGCAATCTCTTGTATTTGGAAAGTACATAGCATAGTTCCTTTCCTGTCCTGTAAGTGATCTTGCCATTTGCAAACTCCATTGGGAGTTTGGACCAACTGCATTGTACGTGCATAGTTAAGTTTTCGAAAGTATTGCCTTTTGCTGTGCTTGTCCTTACACAACTTGTGCAAATTGGTAAGTTGTGACAAGCAAAACCTCTTGTTATGAGGAATGAGGAGAGTTCAGGCTTCAACCCTTTCCTAATATCTGACCAATAAGGATCTAAAGCCACAATCTCTGGTAAGAGAAAGGGCCGTCAACTGGGTGAATCGCTGGACATTACACAGAAGCGACTTTGAATCACTGAAGCTAGAACCTTTTTAGACATGGATCATTAGCTATGTTCTTCTGTATATGTTGTACCTATATCTACCTAGACTATAACAGTTAGTGCATTTGAGACCACCAGTCTGCACTAATACAGTTATTCAATGCCAGACTGCTGGATCTCTATTTTTGTTGGACTGCTTTGGTGTTGCAATTCTAAGGGCATTCAGTAAACCTCAGGTGCTGTGCAGATGGCAAAGCCAAGCTAATACAGAAAAATGAGAAACAAGTGACTACTTAATGTACAGGAATGCATGATCTGCATAACAAATAGCTGACAGCATTGCATACAGGAAGCCCAGCCAGATGGCTGTATATTAAAACACATCACTCCTTGAGAGAATTAAGTACAGGCAATTTGGTCACGTTTTCTGTAAACATGCTGCGTATCACATTAGGATAGAAAGCACAAGAGATTAAATGCCTTATTTATTGGCAACGTTTGTATAAAGTTGGCAGTTACTTATTTTTTTCCATATGCGTTTGAATCGTACCTTCTTAAAAACAATAGCGGTTTTGGTTTTAAAATGTGGGGGAGGAGTATTATCAGTTGATATATAGTGCAGCATATGCACAGTAGGAGCAGAATCAATTTGCATTGCGCTTAACTGTGCTTAACTAATCAAAGCACAACTGATAAATTTGTGACTGAATAGTGAGGTGTGTGTGTGTGTGTGTGTGTTCAGGATACTTGTTAGTATTTTAAAAAAAAATCCCTAAACTAAACTATTGAGCCTTGGGGTACTGAGCAAACGCAGGCTCTGTGTAGAATATGTTGTTTCCTTTCTCCAGCTTGCTGAAAGCGGCTTCTGTACAGGCCATGAGCCAGATTCCATGGAATTCAGTTCCCTAGGAGGATGGGTAGCAACACGAGCATCAGGCATGAAAAAAAACATCTATGGAAACATTGAAGACCTGGTAAATATTTCCAATGCTTGTTCTAATAAATCTATTGATTGCTTGAAGGTTTAACTTTTCTAATGACTAATAGTGAGGGAAAAGGGAGGGTGAATTGCAGTTCTATTATCAAGTGATATGGTCTTGGCATCAAATTTTGTCTGAGATACTTGTTTGCTTGCTTTTTTTATTGGTACTGATAATTGTTCTTGCTGATCTGAAGAACTGGTTTGTTTCGTTTTTTTAGTACTCAGTGGCTAGCTTAAGCAATTGTTTCCTTCTCTTGACTCTGCCATCCTTCACCATTTAGTGCTGTCTGTGACTGATCCTGCCTTAACTTGTGATTAGTCTATTTTTAGGGTGGTTTCAAAGTACACAGTCTTATCTGTGTGTTCTTGAAGTTGTCTGGTTGGATCAGCTCATTCTGCCGGCAAGCTAGTTCTTTCCACCTTCCTCCCCTCACTGAGCTATTAGCTTTTCAAATCAGCAAGCCGATCTGATTAACCCTGTGGGCACACACTTGCTAAATTGTATGCTACCACATGGTATGCAGCAGTGATGAGGAAAGAAGCAAGGGAAGGGAAATGGCAGTAGTCTGCCCTTAAATCCCTTTTAAGCATTAAAATATTGGGACAAGTAATTTTTAAGCATATTTTTTATTTTTAAAAACTACCTTTTTGTGTTCTAATGAATAAAAGCAAAGCACATCACTGTTCAGACTTTGCCTTATTTTTTTGGCTTAATCTTCTTAGCCTTTTCTAATTGTCCATTAGGTTGAAGAACCTTTCCACACCCATGACTCTTTTTCATTCCTTTCTCTTCCCATGGCATGCTGAGGCACTGTGTTGTTATCAGCTCGGGCTTTCTTATCTGCTCATAGTTCAAATGTGTCTTTCTGTGTACGGACATAACATTTTCCTGTCAGTAAGCTTGGCAGGAACTAAATTGTATTCAGTAGGTGTGACTTGAACAAAAACTACTTGCACTTAAAGTATCATCTGTGCCTACTCCTGAAGTGTAACTGTGTAGTGGAGTTTTGCTGGTCTTAAGAGACGTGAGGCAGGAGGCTTTTCTGTCATGAGACTAAACTTCAAGCTAAAACTTAGCTTCTGAAACTGTCATTGGGAGAAAATATATTCAGAAGTTGATTCAGAGCAGTTCATGAGTCTCTTAATGCCCCAGTGAGAAAGGGGAAGTGTTTACCTTCTAGGGGAAAACTTTTTATCTAGAAATGAGCTGTTATATAAGCTGCTTAAAATCCACCTTCTTATTATGGAATCAGCAGTTCATAAAATGCATTTAACAAATTTCTTGAGTAACTCAGAACAAGATGAAAATGATTTAGCTACCTGTGCTTGAAAGTTTTAAAGCCGTTAGTGGAAATTCAGTAACTTCAGTAAAGCCTTAAAATGGAGCAAAGTATATCCTTCCTTGCTATGAAAAAATTGAATGCAGTGTGAAAAATATGGATGCTCTGTATTGGAAGTTCATGAATAAAGCTGGAAACAACAAACCTGGAATGAAATATTTAAACCTTCTAGCCTTACGTATGTGTTGGGCTTATGGCAAACTTAATATTGATAATCCATTTCACAAAGCTGTCTTCTCTCTTTCCTCCTGCAGAAATATCTTTCTGTAGCAACTGATGTCTGAATCAGACTTGCGTTCTCTATCAAGCAGCAGTTTTAAAGTATAACTTAGGCAAGAAAGTGTGTTCCTTCTGCTTCAAAATCCCTTTTTTCCTCTGAAGCACTATGCATATCCTAGATTCAAATCCTAGTATACAAAGAGGCACTGTCTACACGGAGAGAAACAAAGCAGCTCTGACTATCTCTGTGGTCAACCGTTTGTTCCTATTTCCCTAACCATTAATGAAATAATCTGTGTTGGCAAATTATATTGCATTAGAAATAACGGTTGTTAACATTAGCAGTTCTCTGGTTATCCCACAAGTTCTTGGGGCAGCCTACGGAACACTTAAAGCCTACAAAGCTGAACTACATCAAGCTTAACATGCGTTTTGTAATAAATGAGTATTCTCGTGTAAAAAAATAAAAATAAAAATCTTTGCTTAATGCTAGAATGTATAGTCACTGTATATTGTTTTAAACAGGTGATTCATATAAGAATGGTAACTCCTAGAGGAATAGTAGAAAAAAACTGTCAAGTACCTCGCATGTCAACAGGACCTGACATCCATCACTTCATTATGGGATCTGAAGGTATAAGCACAGTAATACTATATAACTGCATCTTAATTCAGCTTCTGTAATGACTTTGATATGAGTACATGCAACACTGGATTTCAGTGTGTTTATGGGTGACATTCTACAGGCATAGATTTCTTGTGTTGTGATAACACATTGAGACCTTAATTAGGGCCCTGAAGTTATGCAACTCTGAACAGATCTATGGAGTTACCCTATATTTCTAGTAACAAACCCTGTGATTTAGAGGGTAGCTGGTAAGATTTTTTACTATGTAAATTGTCAGGGATAAGTAATCTAGCAGTTCAGTTATAAATTAGAAGCCCTCAAAATTCAGATTAACTTATAACTTCTTGGTAAACAGTTGCTGTGAAGTTGGGTAACTTCTGAGACGAGTGTCTTCCAGCACTTTATTGTCTACTTTTTCTTTTTCCCTGAAGGAACTCTTGGAGTGGTTACTGAAGTTACAATAAAGATTCGCCCAGTCCCTGAGTACCAGAAGTATGGCTCTGTGGTCTTCCCCAACTTTGAAAGAGGGGTGGCCTGCTTAAGAGAAGTGGCAAAGCAGGTAAAGAGAAGCTATGTGTTGACTTTGTGCAAGTACGCTGATTCTGGTCTTGTCCTGAGTCTAGCGCTAGGGATATGCTGATGCTCCGGTCTGCCACCTTCTGGCAATTGGTAAACGAAGATCTGAGATCATGTGGAAGTCAATAAGTGTGTATGGTCTGTGAGGCTCCCCAAAATGATCCATCTGAGGAATGAGCAGGTTCTGCATTTAGACAGCTACTGAGCCGAATGATGGATGTGCCTTTTGATGGCTTGTTCAGTGGGAGTTATTAGCATATCCCAGAGCAGAATTTGGCTTTCTCTCCATCGGTGGAGAGTTTTGTCCTCAGATTCCTTCAGGAATATGTAGAAGGGAGCAGTGTTTATTTGTATGTTGCAACTTAATTTCTGTAAAGAGTAGCGAGATTTATGGGTCCGAAGTGACATAGGAACAAAAGTCATGCAATGGAAGGATATAGCCTATGCTTACAGGAATAGAAAACATTTATTGCAGACCAGTGACCGGTTCAGATGAGCTGCATGTTTTCAGTTGGGATTGTGCTTGCACCGCAGTGTTTAAATAGAACCTTCTTAATAGTGTGGTCAAACAATAGGAGAAGAGGCTTCAGGTGGTGAAACTTGGCTGTAAGTGTCCAATATGTCCTAATGCTTTTTCTCATGGCTCTGCTTCCAAGCAAATATTGCAATGTATAGTCACTTTCTTCATGATCTTAGACTAACTTTTTCTTAGCTGTGTATAAAACGTACCAAATCACTTCTGGGCATACTAGAATACACCTTGAATTGGGGAAGGCATTTCAGAATGTTTTAATTATTGCCAAACTAAATACAGCTTTATGCTTTTTCCAGTGATGGATCTAAATTAAAGATTTAATGTTCCAAGCCAGATGTTCAAACTGGTATGTGAATGATATGTATGCTGGTCAGCAGCACTTGCCAATTCTTCTGTCACATACTTCCACTGTTGGTGCTTGTCCTTCCTCTTAATGGTACCTAAGCGGACTGGGAACACTTAATTATATGGCCAGCCAACAGTTTAAGTCAATTTAAGGAGCTACTGTCTTTTATCCCTCTATGGGCTTAAAGGGAAGAAAAAGGCAGTATTCATCACTTATGTTCCTTTCGTAAACTTCTGTTGCTGTTTCATAATCAACTTAATCCTAGACTACTTACTCCTTTCTCTGTGCCCGCTCACATCAATCGTGGGAGTAATTACAATGATCTTTATCTGAAAAGCTATGGTTTGTCTGTATTGGTCCACTTTAATGTAAGAGTAACCAACCTGCACGTTGTAGGTTATCGGTCCCATAAAAACTCATCCCACCTATTCTGTCAACCTGCCTGGCCAGCTATTTTCTTAATTCTCCTTTCTTGTGCCCTTTTTTGTCATGTGACCAAATATGCATAAGCATGTGATGGGGGTGAATATGTCAAATCAAGTGACAGAGGAGTGCTTCTGTGCCATGTGACTGGATGAAGACTTGCTCAAATTTCAGGCAATCTGTCATGTTTTTGTTGGTTGTGCATCTTAGTATATAACTGGACATGACAATCTCAGACTACGTGATGTAGCATGTATACATATGTATGACCTGTTAGCCTAATGAAAGGTAGCTGTTCTTACTGGTTTCCAGGCTTCTGTGCAATGCAGAATCCAGATTGGACCCAGATGCGGGTTTTAATCACCATCTAATGACAGAACATAATCACTTTTCACTGATTTTGAATCAATGTATTTTTGACATAGCAACATAAAATTGATCTCTGGCAAGCAACTTGATTAACTTATCTTCACTGTTTTTCTGAATTGCCATAATATACCGAATACTTGACTTGATCTCTGGATCTTCAGACTATGGCTACCATTGGATTGAGAAATGACAAAATTGAAATCTTTTGAACAATAATGTTATAGATATTCTTACAGTAGTAACTGTATTAGAATGAGAATGTTTCTAGCCTTAAACTATTTTGTGCTTGATTTTATCATCAAAAGGAACAGGAAGTATAGTCATCAAATGCAGACTTGACTTGTCTGACAGGTCTTCTGTTGAAAATGCCTGGAGGGAAAGTCCTCCCAGCCCCTGTCATATAGTAGTTAGCTGAAGCTCTGTCAGAATATATCCCTCTGATATGAGCCATCTTATTTCGTGTAACTGCTTGTCAGTGTATATCTACTCTTTTCATGTCACTGAATCTAATGAGATCTTGCTGTGTTGTGTTCTAAAGGCTATGTATTATGTGGATATTTATGTGTATAAAGGAAGCCTTGCCTTTAATAGCACTACACTAACTGTCTTTCATCACAATTCAGTTATTTTTATATGTAATCCTTCCTTCTGTTTTTGGAACTTTCAAGAGATTTCAGTTATGCTGCTGGCTAATCTCAACCCTTCCTGAAAGACGGAAAAGTTGACGTCTATTCTATTGCCATACGCTAGTACTCAGTTTTTCCTGTATTTGTAGTTAGGGCTAAAAACTTCCCATCTTTACTGTACATTTCTGCCGAGAATGCGAATATTCTTCATTCAGAAGCAAAATCATTACGGAGCGTCCAGCAGTTGATAAACTGGAGGCAGTGACGTTTTCAGCTAGCACAGTTAGGGTAACAGGAGTAGCCTGGGACCTGAATTGCACTTCCCCATAGGTCAGGATAAGTCTAAGTACTGGCTATAGATTAAGGCAGGTGTGGTTCCAGGTTGGCAAAATTGCACCTTTCTCCAATGTTGTTGTTAGGGAAAGCTTTCCACGTTTGCTGTCTTACACAAAAACTTAAGTGTGTCTGCCTTGCTTTAGCAAATCATGCATGTACAAACTACTAGTATTTCACTGCTGTGCTTTGTCTTATGAAAATTGGGAAAAGGCAGCTTGTTGCCTGAGAAGACACTGTATCTACCTCCAACATAGTCAAATATACTGTCCTGATGCAAGGACAGCCTCCTCTGCTTCATCATGGTCTTCAATCTAAATATCACAGTGATGGGATGCATATTAGGACTCCTGTTAGTTTCAAGGTTTCTGTCACAGGTAGTGTCATGTATGCAGAAGACCTTTTTTTTTTTTTTTTAAAATTTTGACTTGCAAGGCACTCTTGCTTTTGTTCAGGTGCTTCTCCTAAAGGTTTTTGGTATATCAACTTCCAGGGTTGTCTGAAGGGTAGTAGCATTTTGGTCAGTGTTTGTAATAACCAGTGGATCCTTGTCTGTATCTTGTGTGGTGGAAGGGGAGTGCAGGTGCTGGCTCTTCAAAGAAACAAGCAAAAAAACCCACACAGAAGTGAAACAAATGTCTGACTTGTAGAAAAATAGGTATGTTGTATCGGCATGGAGTTTCTGATGAAAAGAAAGAACACACTTGATAAGTGCCAGTTGCTTTCCCATGCTAGAGTTAAATTTAGTGGAGCTCTAATTTGTGGTAACTAAATTCAAATGTAAAAAATCACTTTTGTAGGAAATGCAGTGATTCACATAATTTAGCCTATTTTCAGATACTTAGCATTGAAGTGCTTTGCATAAATTGTGCTGTTGTGTGAGAATTAATTCTCACAGTCGGAATGGGTGAGAGTAGCCTAATTTCTCTTCTGGGGAAAAAAAATTAAATAGCCAACCTAGAGAGAATCCCAAATACCTAGTAACTGTCCTGTAACATGAGTTTTGTTGCTTTGGGGACTCTAATCTTACTGCTTGTTACTTGAATAATATTTTTAGATTATATGGTCTGAACATTCTGAAAATCAGTATAACAATTATCAGGAAGTCGGTAAATCTAAAATCAGTTTTGGTCTGTCTTGTTAGTATTTTTAAGAAAATTGGGTAAGATACTTGATTTTTTTTTTAACATAATATCACAAGGAGAGGTACACAAGGTTGAAGATTTTTCTTAACTCTGGTTCTTTTTTTCTAACTTCTGTAGGAATATATTTGCAGACTTCATAGTCAATCCAGTGGAAGATTTAAGCATCCTTAGTTCAGGTCACCTTAAGTCTTTTGAGTCCCCAAAGCATCCTCACAAACATCCCTACCCAATATAGACAGAATGATTTCAACAGAAACTGTTCTAGTTGGGATACCTGGTATATCTTCCAAAGAAGACCAGTAGTAGTTTGTGTTGTATCTACAAGCGGGTATATACTGTTAAACCTAAAACCACTTTTAAGCTCAACCAGAGTTGAGCTTAAACTGAAAATTTTCAATGTAGTATGTCTGAACAGGTTTCATGGATGTTGCTCTTCAAGTGAAGAAGAGCAAAAGGTTACCCCTTTTCAATGATGAAAACTAAAATGTTTAATTATGGCCATATGTCTCTGCTACCAAACTTACGATTGTGTTATTTTTAAATGAAAATGTGGTTGTCGTGAGTTTTAGTAAAATTGTGTTTATAATCTGTTTTAATTCTTCCCTTGAATTCCTGTAACTTTGCCCTCAAGAGATGTGCTCCTGCATCAATTCGCCTTGTGGACAATGCACAGTTCCAGTTTGGTAAGTTCATACCTCTTGTCTCAGATGAGCCTCTGTTTCTGGCTCTTTATTTTTTAGTAGCTTAAGTCTGTCTTATCTGGCATTCTTTTTCCTTCAAAAGTAGACAAAAAGCAATGAAGCCCAAGATCATGCTCCAGACAGTGCCGTAATGCTTACTGTCTGGAAAAGTCAGTCTTCCTCTCTGGAAAAGCAAGACTGGATACAACAGTCAGTAAAGAACCATACTCTGCATATAGATACATAAGACTTCTGGGACCTTTCCTTTCTTATCACAATTGTATAAGCCAGTCTCCTGGGACTTTGAAATTCTTGAGGTACTACCTCTGTTTTGCAGTGAAGGAACGGAGATCATATTTTTGTGTTATAGTACTTGAAACACATAGCTGCTAAAAGCACTTATGAGAAATCGGGCATCAGAAAAGGAAAATTCGGTATGTAGTAGTAACAAGCACCTTATTACTTTGAAGGTAAGTTGGTTGGTTCCTTTAAATTTCATAAGTTTGTCAAAAAGTATATAGATTCCTGAGAAGCAATAGTTTATTTTGGAAATGTATATTCATTCTAATGTGCCAATGATTATGCTTGGGTGGGATGGAGTTGAAGACACTTTTGTCAAAAGTGAGCTGTATATTTTTAAAAGAAAAAAGCCTACAGCTTAATTGTATTTGCACGCAGTTGTGGCATTTGCTTTTGTCTAAGTTTCTAAGCCTATATAAATAAAAATCAGCTACTAGAAGAATAGTAAACCCAAAGATTTGGTAAAAGTTTTAACTAGTTTAAATACAGAAGCAGAACAATGTCAGACATACAGAGTGATAGTACTTGAGCCCAGCTTAGGGGAAGCGATCAGGTTAAACTGTAGGAACTTTGACAAAAGTAGTGTTATAGCTCAAGACGCTTCTGAAGAGTCCTTGAAATTCCACTCTGTAAAGAGCTAATAGTTTACAGTATTTCAAGTTCTTGCTGAGACTGTGGTATTTTGATTGTGCCTAAAAGATGAAAATGTGAAATGTGACTGCCGTTAAACCTTTATTTTAATACCATTTGAAAGAGTTGGTATTTATGAAATCAGTTTTGGATAGAAGTCTCAGTGATGAGTCTTGACTTTAAATGGTGTTAATCTGATGGTATTGAGAAAGTTGAACTTTTTTGATCCCAGAATGTTAAGATATGTTAAAAAAAAAAAAAATTGATCCAGCAAGCCTTGTTGCTTACTCTGGCCATCTTTTATGTGGCACTATTTCTCTTGGACACTGAGAGCAGAAAGCAGATGAGTTTGTGCTTTCTTTTTAATTGGAAACAGGTCTGACCAATTACAAGCTTTAAACCCAACACTGAAAAAAATCAATATTCTACTTTGCAGCTTTGATATGAGGGTGGTTGTTTGGTTACCCATGAGAGAGAGTTTTAGGTGTGTTGAGATAATTAAGAAGTTTTTATTGTAGTCATTAAGTAGACTTAAATCCGCTTGCTTTTACAGATTGGTTTAATTCATTAGTTCATGTCCTTTCATTACCTTATCTGGTGCTGTTTTTTGCTTGCTTAAGTGTGCTTGCTCTTCTCTGCATAGCATACAAGGGAGTTCCCTCTTTCTGAAGAGGGATGAAGGCTAATCAGTTGCTGAAGTTCATGCTTTATTCAGGAGGAAATACTTTGAAGTATTTTAGAAGGAAGTATCATGTAAATGGTGCATAACTTTTTTTATGAATTGGGCTCACAGCATGTAGGCCAGATGCAAGACTCTTAAAATGAAGCAGTTACAGGAGTTCAGAAGTTGCTTGTAACTGAAAACAATGGAACAAATAGTAAAAAGCTTTCATCTCAATTAAACCCAGTCCTGAGGCAGAGATGTTAATTTAACAGACTCCAAGACACCATTTATATATCCTGGTAATTGTAGTTCTCTGTATGTGATTAAGGAAGCAATTACTAGTTTTATGTAGAAAATTTTGCACAAGTGACATAACCATTAAAGGAAAAATTGCTTAACTCCTTACTTGCACCATTTTTGGCTATTGGTTTCAGTGGTTTTTGGCATAACTTTAAAAAGGTCGCTGCTTTTGCTTTGTTTTAGAGAATAAAAACTAATGAAGTGCTTTTTTTAAAAAAAAAAAAAAAACACTTTCCATGTACTTGTGAAGATCTAAACTAGGTCAGCCTTAATTACATCTCTGCATGAAGTGTTAAGTGGAATATTCATGCAGTTACACACATGCCTTTTAAAAATTAATAAAAACTGCTCAAATCATTTTTCTAAATGAGTGAAAAGTTCCTTCAATTACGATAATCAAAGTCCGAGTGGTTCTTGCGGTTTTACCTACCAACATATTTTCTTCGCTTGCTGGTTGAACTAAGAATTTTAAGAATACCGTTTGCCTAAATACATCTTTTTCCACTTCTCTTGCTGAAGGTCATGCTCTTAAACCACAAGTTGCTTCCATTTTTACATCATTTTTGGATGGACTGAAAAAATTCTACATCACAAAGGTATCCATTTCTGGTTTTAATACTGTTTGGAACTTTGCATGCTGTTCTCAGAATTCAAGATTTTGGTGTGCTGTCTCCAGTGCAGCTGAGTTTGAGTATAACAGACCCTACATTATAGGAAATTGCGTGCCAGTTAATTGGATGATCTCAAAGTGTTTTAATCCAAAATGAGATTATCTATTTGAACAGTTGCTCCATGAGAGCTATTCTCCCCAGTAACGTATGTAGATAAGTGTCCTGTCTAACAATGAGTAAGTGACAGAGCAAGACTGGAACCAAAATACATAACTAATCAGTAAACTCTAAATTAATACTGGTGGAGTGGGGGTAGCACTTTACAACTTTCTTATCTTCCCAGATTTTGTCAAGCTGTAACCTACCTTGTTGTTGCACTAAACTAGAATCGTGGAAGAACCTCAAGATATTTTTCTTGAATTTCACACAGATTGTTCTTTCTTGAACTTATCCAAATAGATACTTCTTTTTAATCCAGAATCAGTAGGTTCAAGAATGATTTCACCTTGGCTTTTATATTAACTAACCTGTCTTGTTACTGATTTTTTTTTCCAAAATACAATTGCTAAGAAGCTTACACAAATACAAGTATTCTGATGTAGAAAATTATATCATCCCATGTTTGGATACCTGTTAGGAGCAGATGGTAAAGATTCCATTCTAATCTGATAGTACTGATTATCTTCAGAGAGTGGGCCTGCTTGAGAGACTTAATGGCTAACATGAGTGTTCTTGAGCAGGATTCTGCTGCTTCTGCCACTTCAGCAGAAAGTGCCATGGGCTTCTCTTGCTTGGAAACCATGTTAGGTTTAGAGATGGCCTGGAAATAATTCCACCTGCCCTCCCCAAGTTGTTGTAATGAGGGTTTTAGCAACATGATCTTTATCAGTTTTGAAACCATAATCCTAGTAAGCAGTATCTACTGCAACAAGCATCAGTTACTAAGGAAAGTTGTATTACAATTCCAATTTTAACTCTGCAAGAAAGAAGACATTTGGAAAAATATGAAATATGCTATGCAATACTGATGCAGAGACTCCAAGTTAGTGACCAGTTTGCAGTTCTCATGCTAGGGGTCAGTCCTCTGGAGTATACAAGCAACTCTTACTTCAGTAAAACTCCCAACTGGGAGGGGAGGCAGGAGTAGAGAAAGGAACACTTTTGATGATCTTGAGGTGGCTGCCATTCCCAGATGCCCTGGGACCAAGATACTCAACTCCATCATGCAGAGGAGTAGTAGGGTCCTTGGGAACCCACAATTACCTTTCATATATGAACTGTTCCCTGTAATTTGTGGTGTGACTCTTTAGGGACTGTGATCCCTTGCCATATGAAGACTTCTGTGTGGTTTGGAGGGTCAGAGTTTGGACAGTCATGTACGTATGAGGGCTTTAATGCAGCATGTTATGAAACTGGTGCTACTATTCCTCCTTGTTTGGGTAGGGGGAAAGAAAATGGAGGAGTCAAAGCAAAGTATCTCGCCACTGAGTTACACTGCCAAATCACAGAGCAAAAGTACAAAAATGTACGTACTTCACTTAAATGTTGTGCCATTAAGATTTATGTAGTGTCAGCTCACTCTTACCTTAAATGTTTATATTAATACATATATTAGAAAGGGGCAAAGTCCTTCTGGTTTACTCCATAAAGTTTGGGACTGTTCATTAGTTCATAAATGCTCTAGGTATTTTGCCTGTCTGCCAGTTCACATTGTCGTCAGTCTCTTCAATGCCTCTTGAAGAGAATTGTGAAGTGTTGGCTGATCATTGTAGTAGATAGAGTAGAAAAAAGGATGCATGCTAGATGAAATACAAATGGTTCTAGACCGAGAAGGACAGTAAATGGCACCTTAATAGACCTTTATACTTCTTGCAGTTTATCAATGTAGTAAGTCTTTCTACTTATGTTAGCTCTGCTCATTTTGTGGGATTAATGAATAAGACTTTTACTTGGGGAGATGTATTTTGTTTCCCAATAACTTTCATGGTGTCCTTTTCCTGAGATGACATATTCCTTTTCTGAAATAATAATTAGGACATCCTTGGCCTGGGATGACTGTAGACTTTTCAGGCTGTCAGTTGAACTGAGCCACCCATGAGATATTGTGCCTCCTCACTGTTTGCTCCTGTTACCTTCAGTTAACTTGCAGTACAGTTAATGTGTTCAGTCAAGGAAGTATTTGAAAGGAATGGCCGTTAACTGGAGTGTTCCCAGCATAACTATGATACACAAAAGATTACTTTGAATCTCTCAACAACTAATGCAGCTTTGTATAACATTACTTAAGCCCTAAGCAAGAAGTTACCACAAATAGATTGGAGATGGAGATGAATGCTCCTGGAAAGGGAAGGATTTAAAAAAAAAAAAAAAGAGCTTGAAAGCTTGTTATAGGTCAGTACACATATTAGGAATACATGGTTCTAGATTGTCAATTTTTGCCCCTGTACAGAATAAAATATAGCCAATGTTCCAGTCTTAATTTCTGTCCATTCTTCCTGAAATCTACTCTAGTAATTCACTGGATCTAATTAATAATCAGAAAAGTGTAGAGAAAATAAGGCTCTTAAGGGCTGCTCATGAAGACTTGACTCTTGCCTCTTCAACTTGTTTTCTTCCTATTTCTACTGGGATGGGATATGCTCCCTGCACAATTTTAAAGGTTAATTTCCTTCCTTTCCATAATGCTTTCCCAGGTTTAGAGTTTTTCCTGTGGTATGCTACTAATGCCGCTATTTCAAGAGCGGTGTAACATACTTATGCTCATTGTCATCTTAACACTTTAATGGAATAATCGAATATAAGTGTCTCCTTATTGCTCAAAGCATTTAAGAACTGTTCGTTTTCCAGCTGTTGTGTTTATCCTGCTTGTTTTGGCAGGGAAACAAAGGTGACTGAGGTGTTTCTGTGCCACTTTGGTGGGCTTGCAAGTGTTTGCCCTATCAAGGGAGTAGTGTTTTTGCTGGAGTTGTATATGTGTCTAAGGAATGCCTTTGTTCTTGTGCTGAGTAAGACTACTCTTGCTTGTAATTTAAGTCAAACCTGTCCTCTTCAGAGGTGTTCGTAAACAAAGAAAACTTGATTGTTTTGGGGAGCAAACTTTAAAAATTGTTTTTCCTTTTCTCTGAAATGCAACAGCATTTAACAGCCTGAGTGCACTGTATGTACTTGAAAAGCAAATTAAGAACTTGTCACTTGTATTCTACCACACAGGCTATGACATAACGTTTTTTTCTTTTTGCAGTTTAAAGGATTTGATCCCAACATACTGTGTGTAGCTACTTTACTCTTTGAGGGTGACAGAGAGAAGGTTCTTCAGCATGAAAAGCAAGTTTATGATATTGCCACCAAGTTTGGGTATGCTTTTCAAAGAACTCTTTCATATGAAGCTGCAAGCTAACTGTCTGGAGAAAATACAGTAATTGCTATAAAAATAGAATAGCTTTATGGATCTTTTTTCAGTTTACTAGTTTGAAGTGGAAATAATCAATTAAATACTTAATGTTCTCTTTAAATATAGTTTGTGCTAATTCTCAATAGATAGTTAAACTTAGAGACACTCATCCATTGATATTAGAGGAGAACAAATATTTGACTAAATATACAGTTGAGATTATTAGAACTTAAGCTAGCCATTATAATTTACAGACCTGGAAGCTGCTTGTTTTGCAATACTAGATCAAATTTTTTCCTTTAGCTACAGAATGATGAGACAAAATCATCAGGGTGATATTAAATGTTTTGTAGAATCATCATGAGCACATGAATAAAGGAAGCTTGTTTTAAAAATGTTTGTGTTTAATTAAAAGGAATTTGACCTATCTGTCCCACCCACCCTGTCCCTCAGACTGTTTTGTACCCTTAAAAAGGAACAGAGAACGCTTCATTCCAGTAGCAGACTGAGTAATTAATGATCGAGTGATTTCTGTCCGTTTTAGTTGATTTAGAAGAGTAATCAATGAAAGCCATCATTGAAAGTGTCATTTGTCAATGTGCTTTTTTCTTTTTAAGAACAGTATTGCAGGTATTAGTCTCAACTACTTAAATACTCTAGAATAAACATTTATGTATATTTCTGATATTTGTGCTTTGATTCTACCACTTTAGGTGATTTACAAAGATGGAATTTCACATGTGCAGCTTGATATCATTCAGTGATTTTTGGGGCTCAGATTTTTTGTTCATATCACTTACACTTTTGGGATCTTAAATCAGTAGCTTTGCTGCTGTGACCTGTGAGCACGCAAGTGCACAAAGCCAACATGTTCTTAAAAATGTTATTGCACATATTCCTGTAGATGGATGTGAAGAATGTACTGTCCAGTTTTGAAGCTTCACGAAAAAGCAGAGGAAACAAGGCACTTATTTTAAGATTGCTTCAAATGTTTTACTGTTTACCCCTCTCTTGAGATTGTTGAATAAAAATAGAACTGTGAGGAGTTAAAGATCTACTTTGCAATAAGCTGTCATTTCCAGTGAAGAAAACAATTCCTGGTCTGTTTAACTGTTTTTCTAAGGAAATGAATGTGTCTGAGAATATTAGGTGCTAATAAGTCATCACAATGCAAATATATTAAAGATAAGCAGTACTTATCAATATCTGGAATGCAAAAGATGTGCTCTATACAATGAAAAAAGAGTCCAAAACTAAACCTGAGATGACTGACCTGATTGTTTAATCAGGAAACATAATAATTTTTGGTTTTGGTTGCAGTTTGACTTAATTTACAGTCACACCTCCCTATCTTTGACAGATTTGTGCGAAAAGAATAATTAATACAACCTCACTATGTTCAAGTGGCAGTCTTTAAGGTATTGTCCTACCAGCTCAGGAGTGTGCAGCAGTTCTATAATGAAGAAATGTAGTGGCTCTTCAACAGATCAGAAGGACTACACTGAAGTAATGGATCAAGTTTTAATGCAAATTAGAGCGCTTCAATCTACTTCAGTTCCTAAACTTCTTTTGAAATTTCTAAAAGGAATAGGAGAAATTAGTCATAATGGTTTAATAAACTTTGCAAGAATCTTTAAGTAGGCTCTGAAGATAATTTCAAAACCATATAAACATTTATATGCAAACATTATGTAAACTAAGTAATTAGTCTAAAGTTATTGTATTGACATTTCATTCTTTAAAGAGCTTATACAGGAATGGCTTCACTGATTTTAGGCCAATTTTAGGGAATGATTTTAGGGATTTGTTTAGCTAGACATTTGCCACTCCGACTGTACTTAAGTAGAGTGGTAGTTAACTAATACAGTTGTAATATCAGTCTGCAGTTTAGTGCTTCCTGAAGAGATTTAATTCCTAGATATATACTTCATTTTATTGCATGCCTGCAGTGAGTGTATTGAAATATAAGCTATTTTAAATTATTTTCTTTACTTCAAAGTTGCGAAGGTTACACAAAACAAAGGTTGTATTTCTGTTATCCAGATACCATACCCTTTCTTTACCACTAGAGTAGTAGTGTATTTATGTGTTGGTGCAGCTACACCATTGTTACAGACAAAAGGTGAAACTAAATTCAGAAGACTAACGTGATCTCCAGATGTCTTGCTTTGAAATTTTTCTTATTGCATCTCTAGTCCGAAGGAAGACTGCATTCTTCTGAAGTAGAATATAGAAATATGGCTGTTAAATGCAGATGATGTTTAAGGGAGAAACTTTATTATGGCGATCTTAATATTGAAATTAACCCTTATTTTCTAGGTAAGCTGATTACTGGAAAGAATCTGGTTTAAGGTTTCTAAACTGCTTAATTGCTTATAGTTTTGCTCATTGCTTTGTATTATACTGGCATCAGTCCAGATTTAGCTTTAGTTTCTGATTGCACTGAAACAGATCGGAAATACTCTCGCTTTCAGACATATTTTAGCAGAGCTGGTATAAAGGAATATTCTGAAGGTTCTTGACTTATGAATGTCTGCTATAAAGTTGGTCCTACTGAAATCTGCTTTTTTTCACTCAGATTGCTTCTGGGTCTGCCTTCCACAGAAAACTTCCTTCTTTCTGAGCCTTTCACTGAAGGGAAGAAAACGTCACTTAAGTATAGGGACCTCAGTTTAACTATTTTAGCACAGCTTTGAGACAGTTAAACTTGTGCATGTATTTGAAGTATTTTTGCATTTTTAATTCTTTTTGGAAACCTGTGAATGCTTTGCTGAAAAGCTAATTAAATATCATTAATTGCAGTGGCTTGGCAGCTGGAGAAGATAATGGACAGAGAGGATATATGCTGACATTTGTCATTGCTTACCTTCGGGTAGGTCACCTTTTCCTGTTAATTACTGAAATAAAACCTAAAGATGTTTCTTTCAAGATACTTTCCTGAATTTTAACTGCAAATTGCCTTGGTATAATCTCAAATTTCTCCTAGAGAATTTTCTCTTCCATTTTTAACTCTGTAGTGCTTGCTTATAGCACTTCATCTACAAAAACACCATAAAAACATTAACTTATGCACCTGTTAAGAATAAGATCAGTAAAGGCTAGGGAAAATGAGATTAGAGATCCACTGCCAAGTTGCTAGGTAAATGAGGTCAGACTTAAAAATCCATGGGCTTGAAAGTACTCAGTGGTTGAGGGAGTACTCAAAATACTCATGTGCTTCCTCAGCTCTTGCTCCTTTGGGCATCCACTTATGGCCATGATTGGAATTAGAATTCCAGGATAAGTGGACCTTAGTCTGAACTGGGATGTGCAGCAATTCTTAGGAATTTTAGTTCCACTCTCTGTTCAGTGATTTTTTTCCAAATACTCTGAACATCCTCAGTGTTATGTTTTATTTAGCTCTTATAGTATGGGGCAAATCATTCATCCCCCTTTATTTCAGCAAGCTATATGTAAAATGGGAAAAAGTTTCTTGTCTTCATTTTACCTAGACAGAGCTTACATTCCAAATAAACGCTTCTGCCAGGTTCTACTTCTACTGTTCTGCATAACAGATCTCTTCTACTGGTATCATTATAGCATCAAGCTTTTGATTAGTGTAAGCATAGAGACAGTCTGACAAATTGTCTGTGGTCATGACATCAAAATGCTGAAATCATCCATGTTTTGGGAGAGTGACCCTCTTTCCAAAACCATTAACTAATGTCGCTGGGGCAGCTGGATGTTTTTTCTAAATGGGCTTTCTGCTTCTCATACAAATTATCTTAAGTTGCTCAAGTACTAACTATGTTTACTACACTGGAATCTCAGATGTAGATGCTGAATGTTATTGATAATTTCCTTTCTCTGTTTATTAGGACTTGGGCTTGGATTACTATGTAATAGGAGAATCATTTGAGACATCTGTTCCTTGGGATAGGTAAACTGTGATACTTCAGAATTGCTTGGAACTTGTACCTGATTTTATTCAAAGTACTCCTAACTCATGCTTGCTCATGAGGAAACCGAATTTAGGTTTTATGTGTAGTAAAGGTTTGCTGATGTGCCTCAAGTCTTGCACCTGCATGTTCTTGCTGGAGTTGCTGGTAAATTACGTCTTAGGGTTTGTATGCACAATGTAGGCAAGCGTGCAGTAACATTTCTATTTAGGGTAGCTTACTGTAACAAAGTCAGGACTTTAAAATGCCCAGGCTGAGAATGGGGGAAATGACTACAATAACAGTATTGTTTAAGCAGTCACATGTGTGTGGAATCAGCAGTGCATTTCAAGCAGAAAAGTGTCTAATAAAGCTCTTAAGTTTATGCAAAATAATGTTTGGAAGTTGTATTTTTGCCCCTGCCATGCTGCAGGGAAAGAGAGCTGAAAAGGATAACTTATCTCCAAGGTGAAGATCTTTTCTCTCAGGTTTAACTTAGCTCTCAGCTATAGTAGAGAAACACTTGACAACAACACAATTTAACATTTTTTTCGGCTTAAACTCAGTTATACAGTTTTGTGCAAATTGATCAGTTACTCTGTACCAAGCTAGTTAAAGATACTGGAATAAAATATTTAGCTATGCATACTCTTCAAGAAATGGATACATTTCCCTTGTATATTATTCACTTCCATCAGCCAACAAAATAGTTTGTTAAACCTGCATGAAATGGCCAAGTCTGAATCATACAGTGTCGATAGCTCCTCCGATCTGCATAGGAGAATGTACTAACTGAACAAATGGTCATCTGAAAAATATTTGGAAGAAAATGTTTAAGTATTTTAGCGCTTTGGACATGCCTAGGTCTGTTCTGGCGGCCAGGGCAGGGGGGGGCAGGGAGAGAAGGGAGGGAAAAAAGGCTCACGACAAGCTTTAATGGCTCATTGCCATGTTAGAATTGCTACATTTCAGACTTGCAAACTAATACACACCTGGAACAAACTAATACGCACCTGGAAAGTGTTTCTATCTGTTTTGCAATGTATCAAAGGTGTAGTGCTACCACAAGGCCATAGCATTCTAAAGTCTTCTACTGTGAGTTGCGTTTTATCAGCTACGTTGTGGAACATTGCACGCTTTTCTCAGCAGAACAGCCTGAAAAGGCATACTGAATTGAATAATCTCCCTTTTTTGAGTCCTATTCCTTACGCAAAAGAGTGTTCAGTGCTCTCTACTTCATACTAAACTTCCTGTTCAGGAGATATACAGGAAGAGTAATACTACTGAAGTCTGGTTAGGACTATTTTATTGTTAGGACAAAATCTAAACTAGTTTAACATGGGTTTTTAGTTGTCTTATTATTTTATTAACTTATACCCTTAAAATGCCAAAGCTGAAGATTTCCTTTAAAGGAAATTATATAAGAGAATATCGTAAGACTCTATTTTACTATTTTCTTTTACAGGGTTTTAGACCTCTGTAGGAATGTAAAGGAAAGGATAGTAAGAGAATGCAAAGAAAAGGGTGTTCAGTTTGCACCTTTTTCCACCTGCAGGTAAGTTATGTACCAACTTAAAAGATTCCAGAATAATGAATATTTATCTGTTAAGTAGCTAAGGAACAATTTGCAACTTTAGTACACTAAAAAGAGGTCATTAAACTTGCTATATAGTAGATAATGTGAAGCTGTTAGTACAGCCATTAGTAATCTTGACCTTCTCTAATCTGCCAGTAGAATATGTAGCAAAGTAATCATTTCCGGGGATTAGTGGTACTTGATTAGTCTTGGCGTTTGTTTTTTGCTTATGGGCACCAGAGAGTCAAGTACTACAAGACTGATTTAAGAGCTTCACCTCAAAGTCATAGCATTGAATCACTCTCAAAGTATGAGTAAAAAAGATGCAAAACTTTAAAGTGGATACTTCCTTTTTAAATAAAATGAGTTACCATGTGAAGTGTGTAGTGTTATATAGTTGTTGGTTTAATACCATAAAGCTCTGCTTTTAATGCAGTTCTCTTTAACAGGGTGACACAGACTTACGACGCAGGTGCATGTGTCTACTTCTACTTTGCCTTTAACTACAGAGGAATCAGTGATCCTGTTCATGTCTATGAACAAATTGAGGTAATGTAGTATGAACAATGTTTGGACAGGGCATGGGGGAGAAGCTGATGTTACATGATCTGTTTGTCCCATAATGTATTTTGAACCTGTTGGCCAAGCTAACTGAATGCAGGAGAGAGATATCAAGAGCTTGTTCATCAGCAGCCAAGGAAAAATGTGCACCCTAACAGAAAAGACCAGATAAATACCTGGTCTAAGAAATGTTATATTAAACTAGTGCTAAGTTTTTGTTTACCAAAACCTCTGGAATAACTCTTTACCAGAGAAGCCCTATTTGGGCCTGGAAGTTTAATAAAAATCCACAGGAGAGCCAGTTTAGGGGCTTAAGAGCTTTAACATTTTGGCTAGTGAGAGGCTATACTTATTTAGGGGGGAAACTAATATCCTTTTTCTTAAAGATGTAGTACTTCTACATAGCAGGACTATGGCTAAACTGCTTCTCTTTCTATTTTCTGGTTCATATGCTCAGTAGCAGATAATTAACAGGACTATAGAGAAATAGTGTAACTTTAATGAGGATATGATTCTTCTCATGCTTGTTTCTTAGAAATTTCTTGAACTTGGCAATTGGATGCAAAGTTATATCTACAAGTTCCTAGGTTTTCTTATGCTGTTAAACTTAGGGCACTGGAGAACATACCTCTAAAGCATTTACTTAGGCGAGTATGAGTGAGTTTCACTATAACCATTTATTGGAATTAGCAGCATGATCATGCTGATGCATGCCTTCCGTTGTAGATGGCTAAATTTAACCTAACAAATGACTTTGCCAATAAAGTACATGCACTCTGTGGAAGATTGAAAAAATCTGTAACTGCATAGGTAAATCAGTTCTATATAGAAAAAGCAGACTTTTTTTCCAAAAAAACCTACCACCAACAACATAGGGTTTGTGCTTAGGAAAGCTTTCTCTGTCACAGCCTTCTTAGGCAGCTGTCTATTCCTAATCAGAGCTGGATGGAGAAGAAAATGCTAGAGTTTGAAAATGTTCAAATGATTTTCTTAGCATAAAATCTAAACTTTCCTACTACAGACTTCAACACAAGAGTAGTCAATTGTAGAATGTCTCTTTTCTCAGCCAGAATCTTGGAGACTTGGGTCTAAACTCTGAGCTGGAATAAAGAACTTTGAAAACATTCTCTGCAGAGCAATAAAAGTTCTGTGTTAAGGCTTTCCTGTCATTAGGATCTTGTCCCTCTTCTGGGTGAGCACCCTGGCCACTAGACTAGTTCCTGCAAGGGGGAAATTGTTCTGAAATTACATTCTGGAACAATGACTTTGTTGAAATGTCTTGGCTTTGTCAGTGTTTATTTGGAAAAGTCCCAGTCGCGTTTATCTGTAAGCTTAAACTAAAATGTTGGTCTATATTGTATACCTTAATTATTTCAGAGATTTTTTTTTGTATGCCTGGTAAATGAGTATGATATCAAGTATTTTTAGTGAAATGCATTATTTTATGCGTTTATTGAATAAATACCTTCTTTCCAATCTAGACGGCGGCTAGAGAAGAAATACTTGCCAATGGAGGAAGTCTGTCACATCACCATGGAGGTATACTTCCCAGTATAATGCTTATCTGTCTTATAGTGCCAAATATTTACCAGTGTATAAAATAATTGTAATGGAACTTAAAATATTTCAAAGGCATTAATTGAAATTACTGAGAAAAATCTTTTGGCATCCTTTCAGGTAACTTCTCACCCCTTTGCCAGACTTTCAGGGGAAGTGTCTCTAGCCTTGGTTGCTTGTTGTCAAGTCACACAACGTGATATATTTATGGCCACCATGTTGAAACCTTTTGATAGGAAATCTACAGGCTGTCTGAGAACTTGAAAATATAGTTGGTCAGCTTTTCTAAGCAACTTCTACTGAGTCCTGTGCAGAGGTGTATTCAGATACATGGACCTCAGTGGGATACAAGTTTTTTCACAATTTTAAGACAAAACATTTTAACTAGTGTCCCTTATGGCTAGGTGAATACTGTTAGTGCAAATTCCATAGCACCTAGTAAAATATCTACATAAAAGAGCTAGTGACTTTGAACTAGACCATGTTGTAGGCGGCTACTTGTTGCATGATTGATGTGAGTATTGACATACCTGTCTTGCTCTCTGCTAACTTCTGATGATTGTTTCCTTGCTGTAGTTTGGAAGTGATTTGTCATGAGTTACTGGTCTCTTTGCAAGCTATTTTGTGCTTTAATACTTGGTTCAAAAACAAGCATTATGCCTAAAGTGTTACCCTAATGCTTTATGTATGCTCTTCCCACATATTGATATAGGACATTATGTAATCAACTTAATTCGGCTATAAACTCAGATGTCAGGAATACTTCTGGATTCAGCTTTGTGTGTGTAACTAACTTTTCAACTGTTTGACTTGCAATATGTTTCTTGTCTCTCTACTCTTTTGGGGCATTGCCTGACCACAGAGTTAAGAGCAAAGAGAAGGAAGCCTAATGGTTTAAAATTACATTATAATTCTGAAATTCCCATATAGCTTTGTGTGGGGGCAAAACTGGAGCAGAAACAGTGTTTTAAAACATCTTAGTGATTTTTCTGGACTTGGAGAGCATCTTGAAATTTGAGACTTGTATCTAGGCCTGTTTTTCTTCCTACAGATTTAATACACGCTCTAATGGACTCTGCTTCAGCAATACCAGAGTAGGAAGGGGTTGAAAGGCTCATAGGCTGTGATAACATGAGGGGAAAAAAGAACTAGTGGTTAATGTGCTTTCCTTGTCCACTGATTGAATTTTTAGTGTGGTATTATAGTGGATAGGTCAGCTCTTGCACAGAGGGTGTGGAATTTCCCCCTTGATTTGCTATTGTGCTCTCCCCTGCTGTGGCACCTGTATTACTGTGACTAGTATTTCATTCATTAACTTGCATGCAGTTGTACCTTACCATATGATTAATGTTTGTGTGCACCATATGAAACCTTGCTTCCAGCATGTGTTGGACAAGAAAAGAAATTACTTGTTGTATGGCATTTTCATACCCCTGCACACTTGAACTTCTGACTTAACAGATACAGGAAACTTGGTCTCTGTTAAACTTCTCATCCTCCCCTCAACTTTGTTGTCTTTCCTGATTAAATATTTTCTGCTGTAAGTGTGTTCTGTCTGGCAGTGCATTGTGTACAATATGCAAGATCCTTTTTCCTGTGTTTAGTAGATTTGCTGCTGAGAATTAGCCTAATGGTATTGCTTTTATTTAGTGACCTTCAGGCCTTTTCATTCTTAGCACTGCTAAGACTATTGTATGGGGTAAAGGAAAATAGTGGTGCAATTTCTTCTAGTATTTGTCTTGTAATTGTGATTAATAACAGTTGTTTTCACTATCTGGAAACAGACAGGCTGGTTTGTCTGCCTACAATCATGCTGTGATAAATGGAGCTATTTTAACTCTGGTTTTGTGTATCAAAGAAAACAGATGTAGTCTGGGACTTGAGGCTATAGAAAATACGAAGCCTGTTTAACTCCATCTTCATATACTCCTTGAGTGAAGACTGATCATATATGTCAGTTTTAGGTATATGTAAAGCTCTAAATTAGTTTAAATTTGGAGAAATACTAATTTCAGATAAACCCCTACCACCTGCAATGAGAACTAAAATGATGATAAAATTTTATAAAGTGTAACTTAAGAGATTTTAATTTGAATTCTGTTTTATATTATCCCAAAATTCCCCCTCTGCTAATGCAAAGTACTGTAAGTCTTAGGCAAGACTCAGGAAAATGTTAGCAATGTCTTGAAGATTCCCCCCCCACACACACATGATGACTTTTGAGACTTAAAACTTGCAAGTAGCGTAATTTTTCTTTGTTAACGGATTGTGCTTGAGGACCCTGCAATACGTAATGCCATGCTTTGTCATATCTTGCAGTATGTAAGAGGAACATGCCAGGAAAGAGATTGTAAAAATCTCTCAGTAAGAATCTCATGGATGCAAGAAGTTCTAGCAAAACTAAAGTATGCATTTGTGTAATCAGTTTCTCCTTTCAATATAACATTGACTTGTATTTTGGTGTGTGGTATCTGGGTTTTTGTTTTTATAAAGCTGGATATGATTTCTGACTTTTTGTTCTTTTAACCATATTGCCTTTTCCTTCCAAATTTGATTTCTTACTCTTGGCTTATGAATATTAATTAGATTTAAATATTTGAAAGTGTCAGGAATGATTTTTCTACTTTAATTTTAGCGTTCCACTTGAGCATATGTTTTTGGATTATGTAATAAAGAGGATTTACACTTAGGAATACTCTCTTGGGCATGTGTGTTGCTATAAGTCCTGAAATATATAACTGAACCAGTAGGTGCTTTACATGTGGGGGGAATTCAGTCATGCTCCGATGCATCAGAAACTGATCCCTTGTAGAAGAGGCTGTCAGACTTTTCATGAGCCCAGTAGTTTTAAGTAAATGTGGTGGGTCTGATTCTCACTAAATCTGTTGAGAGCAAACTGCTGAAAAGCTTTTCAGTGGTTTTAAAGGAGTTATTTTGATGTGCGAATTTGAAGTCGTTTCTTATGTTTACTCCTGTCTCTTAACCAGTGCTCTGATATAATTTGTGGCTTGCTAGAAGTTTTTGAAAGGGATTCAGGAATTAGATATCCTACTTCTAGTGATCCTTGTGTTTTTTCTTACCTGAGCTTTTTACAGCCTTCATTATAGCTTTCCCCTTGCCTTTGAGTCCTGCATGTAGAAAGTGATAGTGGACATCTTTGAACACAGCTTTGATCCTGCTGCTTTCCTGGCAACAGCTGTGGGTGTCTTAAGTCTGTTAAGCCATGTATGTAAGGGTTGCCAGAGTCTCATAGTTTGCTTCTAGATACCCCTCATTAGAAAAGGAACTTTGGAAATGACAGCTTTATAGATACAGTTCTAGTAAATAAATTCTTCTAATGGCAAGCCCTAAAACGTGTATGAAATGTCACACCTTACATTCTTGAATTCCTGTTTTATAAAATATATGCTTTGTTGTATACATAGAATAGCACACGCTGAGGAAGTATCACTAGGTAGGATTGGTGTATAAACAGAATCATTTCTTTGAAGTACAGCATCATAAAGGCACTGACTAGATTTGGGCCTGATACTTTTTGTATTACCAAGTTAAGCAGCCATGTAAAATGAGCTAAGGAACAGTTTAAAAGTGAATGGTAAACTGTTTCCTTTGCAGAAAATGTTCTAACTAAGAAACAGTTACTTAAGGAAACAATTATTTATTTGGCCTCTTAGTTTGAGCGAGTACCTTCATTTAGCTACTTAATAGAACTAATTTTCTTCCACTTTACAGACAGAGTGACTAGAATAAATGTTAGTGCAGGCTAAGCCCCACAGGGTTAGTCAGGTATAATAGCAATTTCCTGGTAGTTGATGTAAAACCTTAAAAAAAGGTGCGTTCAGTTGCATGTTTGGCATTGCAATTCTGTATCATTAAGGGGCCATGGCTTAGTTGTACACGGCAGTAATTAACTGCAGCTTTATTTTCTCAGCCATTAAATAACCCTCACAAATCACAACATCTGGAATTATAAAATTCCCTCAAGGGGAGGAGTTGGGCACACACAGAAAAAGTGTCATCTTACTTTTGCAAGTTAAACACTGGAGGTGGATCGTATTTTGATCTGTAAACTTGCTCTATTGATTTAGAGTGAGGCATTTCAACTGTGGCCATTCTGTGTCAAACACCAAGGAGACCCTATTATGTGAAATAATATAGTTGCTCATATTGTATTTTCCTCCTTGGTCTGCTGAAGGCCTTAACAGGATTATCATCAGTGCCTCTTCCCAAACAAATGCAGAAGATCTTGATTCATCATCACAGAATTTGAAAGTACTTATTTGGGTAGTTTAGATGCCAAGTACAGACTTGCCGGATGTTGGACAGTAATAGAAGTGTTAATTATGTAGCAGACATGGGGTCTCAAGTATACTGGTCCAATGTACTCCTGTTCTTCTGCAGTATTAGATTAATGTGCTGACCTTTCTCAGTGAATTGCAGAGGTATCTCTGGAAAAGTAATAACCTGCTAAGCAATTTCTAAGAGTGGAAAGATGCTCTCCATAGAGAGAACCAGCTTCAGGAAGAGCATGCAACAGCCGGAAGAGTCCCATCCTTCTTATGACCCAGTTGCTGTTCTTCCTTTTGCAGAACTGTTTTGCAATAATTGCCTCTCTAAGTTTAAAGGGCTGGAGCAAAGGAAGCCTGGGGCCATATGCAGTGCCACTAGAGCCTATTTCAGCTGGGACCATACACCGCTATAAATCTATTCTGTGTGGGTAGAGTCATTCCTGTGACCCATAGTTCATCAGCTGTGTTTGAACTTCCCTTACAAGCCTATCTATGTGTGCTCAAGTACTTCCCCTTCGTAAAGGGAGAAAACTGATTGCTTCCTGCTGTTTGTTAGCTCCATCCTTAGCAACCAGATTTCTGCAGCCACCCAGGCATATCATCAAAGATGAGCAAGCGTGGCCTTGATGAGCCAGAGAGCTTTACTCTCATTCTAGCTTCTTTTGTGGGCAGCAAGCTGCCCATCTAACACTATGAAACTTGTCATCTGTGGCAGAGACTAATGTCAGTACCTGGTTGCTGCAAAGGATGGATTCCACAGGAAGAACATGGAATGTGGTTATATTTTACCAAACTTTATCATTTGGAATTATCTTATGTTCATGGTAACATCTTCTGCTCTTATGGAATTTTCTTCTTCCTTTTTCCTTCTCTTACTTGAAGCTAATTGGATTATTGTATTCAGGAGAAACAGAATGCCCATAGGGCAGTACTAACCTGAAATGAAAAAAATGAGAATACCTTATAGAAACGCAGCATTTTTATCTGTGCAAAGTCTTAGCCTTTCACTTTTCCATGTAATCAGATGGACCAGCTTAGAACTCAAAGAATAGAATTGCTTCAACTCTTTTAAACCCTGTGGTATCAAAATTTGCAGTAGCTGACAAATCCACATACATCTCATTGATGTGAACAGCAGGAGTTAGGGGCTCAACCTGCTGTTATCAAGGGGTTAAAATCTTTCCATTAAACGTGTTTGTGAAGGACCACTGGTATCTGTAGTACAGCTTTTTTCTTTCCAATTCACTAATCAAATGTATGTTAGATTTATTATTGTAAAAGTATAAACCATAGAAAATTTGACAAGATAGATGTGTAAATTATCACTTTGACAGAACTAATGATGCACTCCAAGCACCTTCTGTTTTCCAGCACTTGGTGAGTGACTTCATTAAATATGCAATGACTGTTTGGTGCTGCTCAGACAGTGGTTCAGTTCCTCATGGAATTGCATTATTACTGGAGGTGTAAAAGAGGCAAGCGCACTAGCTGTTGGGCATCCTGCTGTGATTCTAATGTGCTCCATCTTGTTGGAGCAGTTGTTTGCAGTCTTTTCAGGACAATTACATCCATAACCACAGGACACATTCACTGAAGCTATATTACAGATAACAGTTGAGAATGGTAATGACTGTTCTTCAGCCTCTTGTGCAAGAGCCAGAGTGTGAGTGACTTGAGGTGATGGTCAAGCCACATCCATTTTTTTTCCCCCTTTTAAACTATTCCCACATAATTCAACTGGATCAACTTGCTCAGACAATCAAATTGTAATGGTGGTATATTTACAGATGGGGATTTTTTGGAGGTGGGTTGCAAAATACTACTACAGTTCCTGCTGCTGAAGGCTTTTGTCCTTCACTTATGATCCTTGCTCTTGACAAGCATGCTGGTAATAGTTGTTTTCTATGCAACTGCAAATTTCACTTTCTCACATTTGCTTTTTCAGTTTGGTATTGTGGCTAGCTCATATTCCTTAAGGTGTAAACAAATATGCTCTGTTCTCCAGGGGTGTCCCTGTAATTTATTATTCCGATGACAGTTTGATGGTTACCCTGAGAACAGGGTACAAAAGATGGCTTGAATTTAGCTTCAGATACTCTTAAAGCATCTGCCTCTCAAGCCTTCACTATATCACATCATATTGACAAATGGACTGTGTTTTAGGCTGGCCAGCTAGATGCTATACTGTATTTAATGAAAAAATGTCCTCTATTTTGAATGATCTGTTAAATCGGAGTTGATGACTTGGTTAATATATGAACGCTTGGCCATGTATCAGGGCTATTGTGAGAATTTTGGTGCAATGAGTTGTTAAACAGCTAGTGTTTATGCTTTGTTTTGTATTTGGTATATGTTGTGAACATCCATTTTAATATGGAAACTAAATTCCTATGTAAAATAGCATGTGCAAGTGCCAGCCTATGTGGAAGTTTTGAATGAAATAATATGTTTTACTGATAGAGAGCTGGGCTTTTGAAAGCATTTTTTAGTTATTTAAACCAATACTATTTAAAATTTACTTCTGGCAGTAAGTTCTGATTAGTTTTTAATCTTTTCAGCTTCCTACTTTTAAGATGAGTTTGGCTTTTTAGAACTTGTAATTACTGTTTCACCGTTTTTAACAGAACGTGATCTCAGTCTAAGCTTCATCTAAATTTCATACTTTCTAAAGAAAGTAGACAGTGTGGAACACAGGCTTCCTCTGGGAGTATGCTGAGCTTAATGAGCTTGATAGTCTAGTGGGCTCAATAAATCAAATAAAGCAAAACATTTCTCATTTTTGAATAAAAGCATTTATCACACAGTGTTTATTCATTCATGGTCACAAGATTGATTGGTTCCTTGAATCCTGCCATATATTGAAATGCTTTGTTTTTGTTTTTCCAGTAGGCAAATTGCGGAAGCGCTGGATGAAGGAGAGCATCTCTGATGTTGGCTTGGGAATGCTGAGATCTGTTAAAGAATATGTGGACCCCAATAACATCTTTGGAAACAAAAACCTTTTATAAAGCCCTGTACAATATGATGTACTAAAACTTCACAGTTGCTGTTGAAATTCCTTCATTTTCATTGTACTGATATCCCAGTAATCAAATATAACTTAGACTAAACTTAAGACTACTATATTACTTTGTCTTTTTCCTTCCAATAAAGTGGAATGAATTCCTTCATTCATTGTTAATGTTTATGGATTTTTACTTACAATGCTTTTAAACTCTTGAACAACCCACTGGGCGCATCAAAGTATATTACCAACCAGGAAATGCAAATTTGGTTTTCCAAGTTTGGTTAGGCAACACAGCTGAAAGTATTTTCCATGCTGGATACAGCCAGCTGTTTCTTACTAAAGCATCCCCTGCAAGGAGAACAAAGACTGAAAACAGTGGTGTCTACAGAAGCAGCTGCTCAACCCAGCCCCTTGCTAAAGGAAGGCTGCTTGGAGACAGATGAGATTACACCAAGGAGTACTTCTCTGTGCTGAAGAATTAAGTATGTAATAGACTTGTAACCAGCAACCCTTTAAAGCACAAGTGTAGGCTTTGATCAAAAGAGACAAGGCAAGTCAAACTGCTTCTAAAAACTCAGCAGTCTCCCACGTTTGCTCTACTGAAAATCTTAAATTGGTGTGTTCTGAGTTGTATTTGCATTGCTGGGATAATCTGCTTAAATTAATCCTAGGTCAGTCACTATATGTTTTGTACAATGGACATTTCTCACTGTATGTTTAAAACAGGTTTGTAACATAAAATTTTGCCTTCATCTGTACTACAGTCCTCGTGTATATGGTTTTGCTCCCGTTTTGTTTTGCAGAGGTGCACAATATCTTTTTCCAGTAAAAAATGTTTTAGCTATTCAAATGAAACTGTTTGCCTAGCACTGTCTTTTGAAACAGTCTCAACAGTTTTACTAAGCTGAAGTAGACAACATACTGTCATCCTAAAAGTGAGGTTTCCCATTTTAATTTTGTACTGTTTCCTATGACCTTTATGAATTGTTTGTTTACTTCACTGGTAGCCACAAATGTAATTGTCCATTTAACTGTAGGAAAAAATTTCTTGATCAGTACAGTACGAGTAAGCATTTTTACATTGAAACTTGAATCTTAATCAGTGAAACAAACTAGAAGCATTTGTCAATACTCATGATCCATTTTTAAGGTGGGTTCTTTTCTTAAAGCAAGTTATCCAACTTTTTGATAAAGTATATGATCACATAAGATAGAAACAAAATACAGACAATTCTTTGAGGACGCTCTCTCCAGCCAACTGCTTCACTGCTCTGAGTGACAGTGTGGACACCTTTTGTATTGGTAGTGCCCTTAACAAGGAGAAGAAGATAAAATTGCAATTTTGTTTTTAAACTGCTTTAGGATACTGTCTAATTGGTTCTCAATTTTGGTAATATACCATAAAAGGTTAATACACATGCTTGAAAAATACTGCATATCAAACAACTTAAACTGTTTAAATTTCAAGTATGTAAACAAAAATCATGAACAGTCAAAACATTACTTTAAAATGCACATGGTTAACATACCAAATCAAAGCTGTTTATGATCCACAAGTCAAATAGGATGTTAATGTGGTATTTGTCATGCAGTTAGATTTATTTCTAATGGCCTTTGTTTCATAACATTTCAATATAAAAAAATTAGTCTTCTGCATTTCTTCTTAATAGTTTGACCCACAGAGGTCATATTTCAGCAGTACCCAAAACAATAGATATCTAGCCTGTTTTAGGAAACTGATATCTGGCACTGTGGTTAAGTGTTCCTTATTTCATATGTGCCCAATGGCTGTCTCAGCAAAGTGAATTTGTACATGTTTCTGCAGGGGACTTCCTCATTTTGCACAGTGCACAACAATGATTACTTGGCCACAGCTGGAATCTTGCTGATGACCAGTGTCACTGTGAAATAGACCTTTCTGAAGCTGGTAAATATGAAGGGTGTGTGGTTTTTTTGTTTTTTTTTTTTTTTCTTCTGTGCCTCAGTGAAAGCATGGTATGCAAACACGAAACAAACCTTTTTGAAGGAAAGTGTGTGGATAACCAGAAACCATTCTGCGGAACTAAAACAAGTCATTATAGCTCATAACACACTTTTCTCTTAAGAGGCTGACTTATTTGACTTAAAAGTACTACATAAAGTACAGTTTCCTCCCTAACTCTTAGCTGGCTAACTGTGGTTTCCCAACTTTTTATTCAAGTTACACAGCCAAAACTCCTTATGCCCTTTATTTTCAATCTTTGAATAGCCAGTGGCTTCTGAAATGATTTAAAATGCAGTAAAAATTTTCACTGCACATCACTTGTCCTATAGGAAGGTGAAATAACAGGTTATGAGAGTTCTACAGTTCCAACGTGGGATAGCCCTGGGGAAAGGATTTCAACTGCAAAGGCCATAGAATTCTTCTTTTTCTAATGGCCACCCTGCAGCTGTCTTCCTAAATATTTTTCTATCTTATGAACTGTTCAGAGCTTAGTGAAATTCCACAGTCAAAATGCATATTTTATTGGCTGTCCTTAATTCTTTTACTTTTAAAATTCCAAATGAAAATATGCAAACAAATAATGCAAATACAGGAGACCTAGATATATACAAATCGTTACCCCTTTAGAAGAAATCTTCCCTCTTCTAATAGTAAATGAAGTCTTCCACCCCTTTTTTCCTTTCTCTGTTTTCCTTACATAGGCTACGCTTCCCATAGCTGCAGCCTGTTCAGTGATGGATTTTGTTCCATGCAGATCAGCAGTGCATCTTGACAAAGCATATTACTCTTTCATTGTGTGGACTACTTTGGCCATGCCTAAGATACAAGTTTTAGTTAAACTTGTCACGACTTGTAATTACACACCTATTGCTGTTCCTCTCTGAACGGAAGAAAGGTGCAGAATGAGTATGCTTAACTGCTAAGTCTATTTTCATTAGAGAGGGACAGTTTTGTAAAAGTTTTGAGGGGAATGTCATCAAAGAACATATGTTAGAAATGAACACAGGGTCTAGATCTTAAAGAAAAGCATGTCTCTTTGACTTTAATACTGTGGGTGTTACTCCTTACAGTACATTGGTTGCATTAAAGATGTCATCTTTGCCTTACAGCTGGGAACAGAGGCCAGGCCAAATAGTTCTTCCATAGCACTGTAAATTAATTGAAACCAACTTCAGATGCAGGGATGCATTAGCCTTGAAATCCAGAAAACACAAACTGTTTCTTGGTCTTGGAAAATGTATGCTTATCAAGGTTGTAATTCAACTTTCTGCTAGTAAAGCCAAACAGTGTTTGTCATTCTAGTGTGAGACTAACTGTAAAACTGCAGTTGTAATGTTAAGAGATTATTGAACCTTATGTCATTAATAATAATAAAAAAAGGGCCTAAACCATTATGTGTTTTTGTGCTGAAACTAAAACATATGTTCCCCTAACTTATCACCTTTGGTTCATCTTAATTTGGTGGTAAACTTCCAAGGGAAACTAATAGGAAGGCTGTGGCGTTTGTAGAGAGAAAGACTGAATTTGAGAATGTATGCTAATAGAAGATTTACTTTTGTGTTCTATTTAAAGCAAAATAGGAATACTAAAATAGTATCTTTTCAGTGAGGGAAGGGCAAAACAATAGCTGGCTTCTGTTGGATTATATGAATTTGTTAGTCTACTCAGTTCAGAGGTTTCTCTTCCCCTGTTTGGACAGCAGAGCTGCTTTCTGCTGCTCTTGGAAAGCTCTGTCAATATGACACAGGAGGGCACCTTGTCTTAGTAGCTTACCCTTATTCAAAGACCTGTCGTATTAAGTTATTGCAACAGCTGTGATTTAGTTTCTTGCTGTTGCATGTATGTCAGGAACTATTTGTTAAAGCTCCATAAATCTCTATTTGAGAGTTTTGTGTGCACAAATATGCACGTATGAGCAGAAGAAGCATATTTCAGTTATGTCTATCATTGCTGTAAAGTTTTTATTATGTCCTTTAACCTAAAATGACTGAAATTGCATCTTCCTGAAAGGTCTATTGAATTGTCTTATGCTAATGCAGTTTCATTAACGCGTGTCATTTGAAAACTATAAAAGGCACTTTATGCAGGGGACAGGAGAGGTAATGAAATGCTTTAATCTGTGAAATTGCAAATGACAGCGTTGCACTGTTACCCAAAACTTTTTGTGTGTAATTTTTCACAGGAAGGAGAAAACTACCTGGTATTTAAGCACTGGGTTTGTATTATTTCCCTCTCATTAGCAGCATAAAAATGCAGTGTTTCTGTTTAGTTTTAGATCTAGTTACTTTCTAGATGAAGAAGATCTTGAGTGATATGTAATACTTCTCTCAGGATGAGAACCAGATCACATTAGCGTCCTCTTCATTTTTAAACAAAAAATCCTGCATTTTATAAAAAGTTGGATCTGAATTGGCAGCTGTGTAAATACTGTAGCTTGCTGTGCATGGTTTCATAGTCCCAAAACTGACTCTCAATTCCACATTACCTTTGACAGAAAATTGATGTCTTTCACTAGGTTGTTTATGGAGACCACGCTTGGCAGATGATTGCTTTGTTCGTGTTCAGCTTTCAGGTCTCCTGTGGTGCTCAAGTGCAGAGGTGGTCAAAGCTTTTTTCAGAAATGTTTGGCATAGCGTCTTTGAAAAATATCAGTACTGTCAGTTTGAAATTTAAAACTTTCAAAAATATTTGAGAACTTAATTTGAAATCTTGTTGTTGCTTGCAGTATTTACCAATACAAGTTGCAATAATATGTACCTCTACTGAAATGCTGTGAAATATTTCATTTATGAAGTTGTTTTTGCACTTTGGAAAAACTAAACCTTTTTTTATGGGACACTTTATGAATGTTTCATTTTGATTCAGAATAAAGCTAAATTTGTTTCAGTTGACTGTTCAGGAACTCCAGTAAAATAATGCTGTTTGGGGAGCATCCAGTCCATTTCTACCTTCATGGTAAAAGCATGGAGACATAACAGCTTTTGAATGACTATATTTGTGGTAGCGCTGTAAAGTATCTCATAGCAGCCTTCGTTCCATAAAATGGAAGTGTTGATCAGAGCAATGAAACTGTATGTGTACAAGATGATGATGGACAAAATCTGATGGTGTGACTATAATTGTGTAAAGTACAAGCTTCTAGGACTTCAAATCATAAATCAGAAGAGAGTGATACATGTCAGTCTTTGTTTAAAATTCATTTAAAAATTAAACTATATTTTCTAATGAAGAATGTCAAATGATTTTTTACAACTTTGCAGTTCAGTATCACATGGCTTATCTTAGTGTGGCTGGCTTTCCAAGGTGCTACTACAAAATAAAATACTAAATGGACAGATTCAAAGATAGGGCCTTGATAAAGGTACTCTCATTTCAGATTACTGGAAGGGCTTGGATCCATTCATATGGATGACATAGACACTCTGAGGATATGGATATCTGGTGCTGCCATCACACCAGTCAGTGCTCGTTGAGCAACATAAATACTCAAAGCAATTTGAAGACAATGAATAGCATTGATGTTGTGTACTCAAATGATTGAAGTCCAGCACTGAATGCTGAAAATGAAAACATAGAAGGTTGATTTGGATAGATCCATGCACAGGCAGGATAAATTGATAAATGTAATTGTTGATAAATTGATTATTGACATTGGTATTGATAAATGGCTGAACAGCAACCTAGAATTGCTGAGGATAAGGGAGTAGTGAAAAGGTACAAATACAGCAGTTGACCTTTATTCCTTTTACCCGGTGGCAGCAGCCATCAGTCTTTCCTGTTTCACTCTCTTACTGCTGCTGTGCAGGAAATCCTGACTGCCCAGAGGCAAGGGTTAAAAGCCATTCTGAAATGTCAAGTGACACACACTCACCTTGCAAATACGCAGCAGCTGGATAAATACACGTAGAGGTGAGACAATAAAAGCCAGTCATTAAAAAAGTAAATCTGGCTAATGTTAGGAAGCAAACGTAAAAGACCTGGGCGAGGTGAATGCTACCTGAAAACTGTGGCTTTAGAATGGCGTTTGTTGACAAGCCTTGGCCACGATACTTACGGGTCTGAGCAGGCTACAGAGTTACAGCGCAGAGTCCTGGGTAGATGAGAGGATTTTGATTTTAGCCTAATTTTTTTAAGGAAACAAAGCATATGCAATCTCTTTACTGCTGAGTTTGCTCCTCATTTTTCTCCCTATGTCTCCACCAAAGCTTTTGAGCCTTGTGGACAGTTTCAGCCAAACTTGAATAGATGGAAGTCTCAATGTATTAAGTTCTCAGAGGATTTTGTGGAACTACGTGTGGCAGCAACTCTAATTTGTGCTGGCAAGGAGCTGAAACGTTAGCTCAACCCTTGTTAGCTACCAGAAAACCCATGTGGTAGAAAAATGAATGCTCTGACTATGAGAGAAATGAATTGGTATTCACTCCACTTCAGATGCTATGTGGTTCTCCAGTTACTAATAGCTGGAGCCTTGAAATATTTTAGTGAGTGGGTCAAACACAAGGCAAAGCCATTGCAAAGAGGCCTTTTCAATACTGCTGCTCCTGGAAATACAGGACAACGCTATTCTTCCAGTTAGTGTTTTTGAAATAAGATTTCCTTAATAAAGGAAGGTCTTACCTTTGTTCATGCTTGTCACTATGCCATGACCACGTCTTCCTCAGCTGTGCTCAGTGCTATTTTACAGCTTGTGTTCTGGCACAGGAACATGTAAGAACAGAGACTTGGCTTCCTTGGGATTTTTCTGGGACCTAGTTTACACACAGAGTGTGTCTGTGTCTCAAAAGGAGCTTGGGTGTAGCCTCTCCTTAAGAGGGGAGATCCCTGTAAAGCACAGAATTAATGACAGCCTGCAGGGAACTGGGACAACCTGCAAAAGGGGCACTGGGCAGGAGCGGGAAGAGAAAAGAGGCTGGAAGGAGCCAGCAGTAAGCCAGGTCTGTACCTGTGTTGCTGACTGTGGTTCCAGCATCTTTATGAAGAAAGCGCTCTCCTAATGAAGAGTTATGCTAGCTTTACAAGTATGCATTCCTACCGTGTTGTTACCCAGCGTGGGCTTAAGGAAGTGGGGTTTACAGTTTTAGGTGGAGGACATGGGTGACAGCTATACAAGAGGTAGTGGAGAAAGGATTTTGAGAAGAGCTTTCGCATGGTACTGAGGTGAGAATTGCAACCTGGAGCGCAGGCTGCTCGCTTCCCGTCTGCAAAGCTTCAGCAAGCGGCATGGCTCGTCAGCATGCTTAATAAAAACTTCTTTGTACAACTTTGCCTGTCTGTTGCATGACTTTTAGCAGATGAAATAGTGACCAGGAAGCAAAGAGAATTACTAACTGGGAAAACAGAGCAAGGGCAGTGCAAGCGAATGTCTTGCTTCTCTGACTAAATTACACTGAAATGAACATCTGGTAGCAACAGCCGAGCAGAAGGAACTTGGTTGCTAAAGAGAAACAATAAATTTAGGATGGTAACAAATCTGCTGCCTTACTTAAAATTTAGTACTTTTTTAAGGCCGATGAGAGGAAATCTCTGTCTCTTCATTTGTAGAACTATATGCTGCTCTGTGGACATGAAGGAAATGTGGCATTATTTCCTGTTCTTTTATGAGGCTCCCCTACATATTTGGGCTTTAGTTGTCGGTGTTCAGGTGTTTACTGCTAAGCTTTTGCAGGCTGGCCCTCTAAGCCCTTCTACCGAGCTTTGGGTACTTCCACCCGATCTCTATCACAGTGTGATTTATGTTACTAAAGCCAAAATTATCCTTGTGGCTGTTGCAGAAAGGATGGCCTGATTATTATTTGCTGCTTTAAAAAGAAAAAAATAGAACAGCAAAACTTTTGGTCTAGGATTTTTTTGTTCTGTTTGTTTTAAGGCCACGTGCTAATATGCTACAGGTGCAGACCAGTCAGTGCGCAGCAAAGCTAAAACACCTGGGAGTAGCACAGGTGAAGGATGCGGGTGCAATGTGTTGCACAAGTGCAGAGACACTGCAGTGATCAGCAAGATCTTCAGCACCTGAAGCACTGGTATTTACTACTCAAGGTAAATGCAAGTTTCCCTGACTGCAAGCAGGTTGTATGAATACAGGGCCTAGTGCTGAGGAAGAACCGTGCTTGTATCTATTAAGCCTCTGCATGCTCAGCCCTGTGTGTGGTGCTGCTCTTCGGCATCTTGAACCATAGCTGTGATGCCTCGCTCTTACTGTGAGTCGCGATGGCAGTGTTTGCTCGCTGCTTGCAAGTAAACTTGCAAATAAACAAAATGAGCGTGTGTTGACTTCCTACAGCGTTGGCTGCGGAGTCACACGGAGACAGCCCGGGCATTTTCAACTCCCCCCAGATACGGGAGAAAGAAACGGGGACGCGGTGGCTGAGGGCAGCCTGGCACTCCCCGCTGCG